TATATATATATATATATATGCTCTTATATATATTATATGCTCTTACTTGCTCTTAGCGTTCTACGATACAAACCTCGTAATAAAAAATAAAATAAAACAGCCATGAGCGTAGATTTCATATTTAGGAAGTTTCTTCCAAGATACTGTTCCAAGGTACTCCTAATAATACTGGATATATGTCGCTACCAAATGGTTAAAGTTCTCCCAAAAGGTGTTTCTGGCTACTTCATCATTAGACAAAATTCAGATTAGACGCATTTACATGTTTTGAAAACAGTATTCGAATTTCGATCAGAAGCTATGATATTTTTTTTAATGAGCATAAGAAATGTGTGATGAGATAACAAGGAACAAAAAAAAGAAAGGAAGAAGACTGTCTGCTTTCTGTAGGACTTGTTGCGGCTTTCGAAGATTGCTAAGCAAGTGTTAAAGTAAAGCGAGTTTAAGCACAATAATTATTCCCGTTATTATAACCAAACATTCACTAATAAATTTATGGATAAAGAGATGATGAATTTCATCTCAGGGATAAGCACAAAAATGCAATAAATACAAAAGATAAGACCTGTAGCACCCATATCGAATACTTCATCAACTAAACCAGCGTACGTTAACTGTATCAATAGAGGTGTTAGAGGATCAATCCATCTGTCGATTAGAATAATATCTGATATTTGAAAATCATTATGTTCCGACACAGCTTCCGTTTCTTCCTAAAATAGTTCATTGAACAAAAATTTTAAAACAACCTTCGACATTTATCAAAAGCTGAATAAAATACATTTACTATTGAAAGCACAAAATAATGATTATTCTAAATCCTATAAATAAACAAGAAAGTAATTACTGACCTGAGTTCTCATTTTCCTTACAATTTCAACTACTTGGGCTGCCCATTTTCCTTTCCATCTTAAGTTGGGTGAACAACCCATTAAAAGCTCAAGTTGTCGTACGGCTGAAGCGCACTTCTGTAGTTCCGTCCAGTCCTGAAATTCATAAATAGATAATTCAGGTAGCTAATGACATTAATATTATGAAGAAAGAAAAGATGAAAATATGAATTTATTTTCAACTAAACACTTACATTATCTAATAGAAGTTTTGAAGGCAAATCATCCATAAAAAGGGTAAGGAAATCATCGTAAAGCGGAAAGAGTCTCAATGGCAATGATTCAAGTGTTTTCAAAATTGAGCTTGCTTCTCCATTTTGTTTTAACGTATCTCGAATCATAAATGAGGCTTCTGGAACTATCAAAGCGTGATGCTGGCGGTTATCCTTAAAAATATCATTTCATTGTTGCAAAAGAAAGATCATCATTTTGGTCGAAAACAAATTCTAAATTACTAAATATTCAGTGAACAGAATCCGTATTTAATTTAACTAACGAAAAAGGAAAAATGCCAAGACCGCATTACCCATAGAAGCAGTTGACGATGAATACGACAGGTGGATGAATCACTTTCTTAGAAAAGTAAATTGACAATCGGTTCGAAATAAGTCGATAGAAAAGCAAAATAAAAAGCTACATCGTATTATTCCTAAATTATTATCGGTAAAAAACAATTAATTGGAATTATAAAAAATCACATTAATGGATCGAGCATGTTTAAGACATGTGATCAGTTTGTTGATTACTGATGTATTTGATGTCGATAAGATATATATGACATGATTATGCTCTGCCTGTGGTACTCTTGGTGAAAGATCCAATTGTAACATCGATACAACTTTGTGCTCCTTTAGCTCTTCTGTTGTTGTCACCTACAAGCAAAAATTAAATAAAGTCAAACCATGGGAATTTATCTACCCATACTTAGCAGTAAAGAATCTAGCCTAGCCAACAACAGAAGTGAACTTGGTACTATGAGCCTGTTCTTTGTAACACCAAATTAAACACTACAAGCAGTCAACAGATACTGACTAACTTCTGACAACGGGTGAAACGATCTAAGATCTTTATTTTGAGATCATTTCACATACTTCATTAAGCCGTGATGTATATTCTCAGACTCTGAACAATACCAATGACGATGGGCAAAATACTCAGCAGATTAGCTTAACAGTAACGACGAATGAGACCTATATAAATCGGAAATTTCAAAACTTCAAAGCCGGAAATTTAAATTACTGGGAATTAGTTGATTCGAAGACTTCCGGGAAAAAGTATAACAGAAAATACTTTAATTTAACAAACTGTTAAAAAGTGTTTTTAACAGTATTGACCAAGTTAAATTGTTTGATAAGAGCAGGATCCCACGTAATTATTTTGGGACCATCGATCGCATCCAGTGCACTAAACAGAACCCTTGCATTGGCCTCGGACAAGACATCAATAATGCTTCCACTCTTGTTATCCATGTCACAATTCGACCTTCAATTTGCAACTGATACTTTACCAGTACATGCATTAATTATGTCAAAAGTTCGGTACAGTAGGACTCCCAGAGTCGAAATCTTTTATAGGTGACATTTATCATTCACTCTATTTGCACCATTCCATTCCTCTTTTTATTCGCCTATCTATTCACCTCTCCATCCGTCAATCCATTTATCAACCCGGATTTCATCTAGCTCACTACAGCAATACTCTAAGACTTGAAGATCAAACTGGCTTCCTGGCTAATGCCACTTCAACAGCCATTCTTCCCTTTTTACTATCAGCTTTACCTCCCTGCGAAGGAAACACCTAATTCTTATCAAATTTCGGGTTTATCGCAGTGATTTCGATCCTTTATTCTCCTTCTCTCCCATGCCACCGTGACACTCTCTCCTATCAGTACAAATATCTCTAATTCTCTCCCAAACCATTCTATTCTCCTTCTTGCTATGTCACTCAACCCACCACAAATTCAATTTTCCTCCTCTCATCGGTTTCTTCACCTCTCCTGTGCTAATAGGAGATGAAAAAGAGCGCCAGGTGACAGCTATCGTTTACCTTTCTGTTGCATAGATCGGACAAAGCATAGTTCATCAGGAAGCATACGCAGCTAATTTATATCTAATGAAATATTATTGGACAGTTCATCTTAATTAGTCGATAAGCCATCGGATACGAATTGCTTATGCTAGCAGATCCAGAATGTTGAGTGATTCATTACAACATTGCAAATGCCGCAAAAGATGAAGGGCACGTTCATCATGGAAAATTGTTTGGAAGTGATTAAATCCGATGGCTTGTAACAGTTTCAGGTACTGTCAGTAAATTAAAATTAATTCTGAAGTGGAAAAGAGATGCCAGGATGGTTGAAGGTAACCGGTTTTGTGATTTCTATCTGAAAGAACATCGTTAAAGTGAGGAATGTTTAGAATTTCCAAAACTCTCCGGTTTGCTTTAAGTAATTATACATAATCATAGTGATAAATGTTTGCAATACTGTCATTACTGATTGTGCCTGCCTGGTAAGCGTAATGACGTGAGATTGAAGAAGTGACATCAGCAAAACTAAATAAAGAGGGCAATCATTTTGTACTCTTTTGCTCTCATTGTTGTTTTTTTCTTAATTTGAAGATTATTTCATTGATTCTTTGCATTTCCACGATTGCTGTTTACTATCAGTGCCTTTAGGTTCATTCTTTCTGCGGAGCACATTTGTAATGTTTCTGATATCGGTATGTTCTTCATCACCGAGATGAATTCAGTCTCAACCAAACAGAGCAAATTTGAGATAGTAACTGCCTGCATGCATTTATCTTTTTATCTAAATTATTTAACTATAATAAAAAAATTTGTGAAAATCTCCCACTGAAATAATTTTATCATCAAATTAACAGACGTAGCCGAAACATCTGTCCATTCTATTTTAATTGAAAATAGAATATAGGAGTGTTCATTGGAAATCATAGGTTCCATTTTTAATTGCAGCATCTGTTTTGTGAGATTTGCCTCACTTCCGCTACTCATACTTATTAAAAGTTCCCACTTTGAGCAAACATTTAAATTCCTTAAAATGTTATTGTGAATCCGATTTGGCAGCAAAAACAATGAAATGCTAGAAAGAACGTTCTTTATCACAAGCATTTACAATATGTTATCAGTGAATATGTTTCCTTCGAAATATTGGATCAACCTCTCGAATCAAAGATAGAGCAATAGAATGGAAAAATGTGTTCCAGTAGAATCGTTGCGAGCAAAAATAAGCTATTTAGGTAAACATTAAATAAATTGCAACAAGAAATGTTTGTCAAAAAATTCAAGAAGAAGATATTAAAAATCATGAATCAGATAAGAAATTATTAACATTAGCAATCCTTAGCTGTGAATAATTCTAGGATTTGCTTCTTAAGCTATATAATTGATCTCATCCAATCCGAGTTAATCTTTGTTCAACATTTAAAAGTAACGTGCGGCATCATGAGGCTAACATAGAAAACGTTGGTTGGGATGTCAATAAAGTGAGGATTGATTAAACGACTGTACTCAAAGCAAACTGATGCATAGGATGGCATTCGATAACACTAACACTTCTCGCTAATCAATGCTCCTATCAGATTGCGACGAAATGCTCCACAATTCAATGATGTCTTAAAAAACTGGCTCAAAATTTTCATTCAATTTAAATTTCAATCCTTCCCTCATTTTCCCACAAAGTAAAAGACGGCTTCTGTTTGGGCGGTAGTGGTGAACGATGTGAGTATAATCAATTTGTATAAATGCTGTGAATTTGTTATTTATGAGAGGTGTGACATGAAAGTTCTTCGACGGTTTCACAATGATTTCATCAGTGGTTTCCATCACTTTTTTTTCAATTACATTCTTCCTCATGCATACCGTGTGTTATTTGTGCATAATCATCATAGTGCACTACGCTTACTGTATCGTACAGTCTAAATGTCGCCCTATATTTTGTAGTTTCTTCATCTTTCAACAGTTTTGAAGATTAAAGGAATTAAAGGAAGAAGCCATAGAGTTTGAAGGATTCAACATTTAATTATAAATCGCTTGGATGTGATAAGTATATGAGTAATATCAATGATGATTGGTAAAGTGACGTTTAGTGATAACTAGTGGATTAATGATAACTGAATTATTATGGTTTACGTGTTCCTGCTGTCTTATTAATCCTTTTATTTTTCCTGCACACACTCTTTCGAGCAGTACGGTGATGGGACGAATGATGATGCTAAGTTTGATTCATTGAATGATAAGTGAATAAGTTTCCATCATTTCAATTTCTTCTCGCCTGTAGTTCAGCGAAACAGACAGCACTATGTGTCCTAAATCAAGTAACAAATGTGCGGTGGATTGGCCATCTTATATTATCATCCTAACAAATGGTGGTTTCTGTCTTGATGTTTTATAGACGAAGATCAGCATGTTTCTATCAAAATAGTATTCTGGGTTTTTTATTAAATCTGGAATGACAGTGATTAGATAAAAGCAGGGGCTAAATTTAGACGAGATACATATTAAAGCTTCTGCTCGATTTTAAATGTAACAAAGAGTTTTGTTTGTTTTATGTTCATATGACTTACAGGAAGCGTTTACTTTGAACCCCATTCTAGAAAATTTTATTTCAGAGCTCGTCCAAACAACGATTAAAGCTACTTTAATACCCTGGAAATATGCAAAAAGATATATCCAAAACATCAGGTGCTGCCACGAATATTTGTGCTAATGGTGAACGAGCAACAACTGTGCCATTTCGCATAGAACAAAATTGTCGACGTGTTGGTGGAAGATGGAGAAGGGGTATATTATATTACTATTTTGAAGTAGTGTTCAGATTAGAAGAGTAACATTGTAGACTTCTGCAAGATAAATAGTAATATTTATTATAAGTTGTATTTGACTTATAATTTCACTGCACAAAACCTGCTTAAAGATACTATTTATGCATGATAACTCAACAGCATTTTGATTGTCATGCTTTGCAGGAAAGCTTATCCTAATAGACAAAAATAGGAGAGGAAGCTATTACTAGTTTAATTTATTATTTTTACAGTTTCCAGGTAGATCGGCTCACTGCGGACGTCGTAATCAACCCGTATTTTTTGGTCCATCTGCAGAATTCTCCACCCCGCCACATGCTATTTTTGACATACCACCGCGTGTACTACCCGCCAATATGTTTAATGCCAACGTGGTACCACCTAGCGAAAGAGATGCTCAATTCGATTTGCAATTTGCGCCTTTCATGAATCATTTTCCAACATATCAGTTTGATAGTTATCCCCCACGCTTTTATGATAATGGTAACTTTTTATACAGTCATTTATATTAAATATAATTTTTCTTAATATTTTAACTTTTCTTATTTTCACAGCTTTTTATATTGTACAATGTATTAATCATCAAAAAATTATTGTAGCACCTCCTTTATCTTTAAATGAGAGCGGTTCTATTCATCCATCATCATCATCGTCCTCAGCACATAACCTTCATTCTATGTTAGTTCCAATGCAAATTTTGTTTATGTGCAATACATTTTTTGCTTCTGAAAGGTATGAAATATTCAAACATGATGCACATTCGTTTTTGTCAGCATTAATAAAACTGAAGTATTTGAATTTTTAATGCCAGCTTTGTAGAAGGGGTGGAAAAACGAATTGTCACAAAGTAAGACGGGAAAATGCCAAGAAATCACGATATAATTATCAGAAACTTCCATCTGAACAGTTTTCTCAATTAAATTTAGGTATATGTATTTTTTTTTTGCTTTAGTTTACTGATGGTAGAATATCAGCTGTGGTTTTGCACGGTGAACATGGCCTATATTTACTTCCTTGAAATTATTCAATTCATTAATTAGTTTTTTTGTATTTTCTAGTTATTTAGTACTTCAAAAAAATATATCGCAGCTTGCATCGAGATGGTGCAACTTTTATTGTTCTCACGTGTCGTAAAACTTAGCTTATGTTTCCAAATGATATTTTTCAACGATAGCAAAGAATGAGGATTTTAAAAAATTCAGATTTGAGAAAATGAATTTTAGAGGGTGAGATGACTGACATCCAAGAAGGCTATGGCTGTCCACCGTCGTATGTTATGGAGAGCTATCGAGATCAGACAGAGTTGTCTGAAGCAACACATGGTTGTCAATTTTTTAAATGTTATATTCTGCTGTATCTAGCTTTACCTGAGTATTTACATCTTATGCCATGACAAAGTGTGTGTTTTGCAATTTAAAAAAAAAATTTTTGGGACGCATTAAGAATTTGAAAACTTTTAACATCATTTAAAGAACAAGTCGTACAGTCAGAGCGAGGTGGAAGATATTTCCTTTTGCATGACTAATAAATTTTTTGTATCTAATAATGAATTCGATCTAGGAATGCAAGTAATCTAAAACACTTTGTATGTTTTAGATTACTTGCGTTCCTAGATCGAATTTCTCTGTATTTTGGTATTGCATACATATAAAAACATCTAATTCTACGTAAAATTAGAAAATTATGTGGGATTTTCAATTAGATTGCTCGTGCTCTTTTCTAAAAATTTAAGTAAAAATTTGTTGGTACTTTTATTTTTAATTGTAATTACATATTTTATATTTCAATAGAAGCTATCTACTGTATTGTTTGGTTGCCTTAAGTAAGCACAATACTGAAATTGAAAAGTGTAGTGCTTAGTTTTTGCTTTTAGATGATTGCAACTCAGAGATACCGACTTCTGTAAACGAAATCTTTCAAAGAGGAATAACTCATCGCGAACACGACTCATTGCAAACATTACGAGGTTAGTTTGCTGTCTGAACTGTATGTTTCATTCGATGAAATATAATATTTCCCGTAATATATTCGTCAGAAGGTATATTCGGATAAAGCAAAATATTCATTCTGAATTTTAGAGCCATATATGATTTGGTCAAATAGCAGGAAAGATGGAATGATGCTTAACTTTCTGGACTCTGAGGGAAATACTTTTCATCCAAAACCAGCCGCTAATGCTATACTAATAAAATAATGAAATCATTAAAAATTACAGACAAATTCATTTTTATGCATTGTGAAATTTGTGTGGAGTTTATAGCAATCAGGATACTTAAATTTTTAGATAGATTGAAAAAGCAGTTGGAAGAAGAAAACTATGAATGCATGATTTGCTGCCAAATTATCCGTGCTAATGAGGTGTTTTTTTTACTTCTATACTTTAATTGCAGATTATAAGATTTTTCCCTGTTATCTCTTAAACAAGAGGGATTAACTCAGATTTCTAGGCTTAGGACAATTATTCTAATCTTATTTGTTAGGAACTTGAACTTATTTTACGCTTTTTTACAATTGCTATCACCGACTAAGGTTAGCAGTGATCTGTTCGTTGAAAGTCTCGCTTATCCTTTGCAGAGGTCATAATAACTAATTTTCACTGAAATAATTTGCATTCTGTTATCCTTGATACAACCTATAATATGTCTTCGACAATGAAAAATTATTTATGGCAACCTTTTATTTCATACTTTTCCTCACAAAATATGGCTTAAAATTATTGGACAAATAGATCACATGATCAACTTCTTTTCGTTGAAAGCAATACGAACTGTTTCAGTGGATATGGACTTGCAAAAAATGTTATCACATGTTCCATATTAATCGTGCAAATTCTTATGGTTGCATAACACAATGGGCAGCTAAAAGTTTCAAAGCAGATGTTGGCTGGCGATGTCCAAGTTGTCAGAATGTTACTTTTGAACTTCCCAAACAGTATCGGTGTTTTTGTACTAAAAAATTGAATCCTCCAACACAAAGGTATCAGAAAGAAAGCAATTTTTATATATGCTTTTTTACATTACATCATCGGATTTTTAACTTATTGTTCATTTCTGAATTATTTCTGAAGTAATTTGAAAAAATTCATAGTTTTAGGAGATATGAAATAGCCAGTTTCTATATGAGAATTATGTAACTTTATGTTTTAGAGTTATTATTAGAGACTAAGACTGATTTTTATGAAAGAGCTAACAACGCCATTCACCCATAATCCTAGAATAGAATGTGGCTGGAGAGCTTTACTGTTTATTTGCTGTAAGATCTAAAAAAGTCTGATAAATTGTGAAATAAATTAATGGATTTGACAGTTGTGTATGATCTTGCATGCAGGTATGTTTCATTGGAAGCCTAGTACGCAAGTATCTTCTACTTTTACTTAAAAAGCAGTAAATTCATTCATACATTGTTAAAAAATATTGCACATATTATTATTATTTTTATTTTTTTACTCTATTTTTGTTTAGATTCCCGGATATGCCGCACTCATGCAATGGGATTTGTGGGAAAATCCGTGGTGGCGGTTGTGTTCATCCATGTACCGATCAATGTCATCCAGGACCTTGTTCAGAATGTCCGCGTACGATTACTCAAAAATGCAACTGCGGTCGGCAAATTATTGCTGGTCGCTGCGGTAAGCAACTGGAATTTAAGGTGAAAAACTTTTTTTCTGATCTTTGAAGATTTTCACTTTTCACTTTGCACGGACTGCGGTGTCAAACCTATTGGCTGTCAGTGTAGCTATGTGGAGAGTATTTCTTCAGTAATTCAAAAGTTTAAAATTATATTCTCTACGAGACAGTTCATGTTCATTAGAAGCAGCAATTTCTGGCTTAAATTTAGGTATTATCATCAACTGAATTGATTGCCAAACCGCTTTTAATTGCTACATTCTATAATTTATTGTAGTGTTCGATGGTGTGCGGAAAAACACTCAATTGTGGGATACACAAATGCGAAATTATCTGTCACCAAGGAGAATGTAACGCTTGTGAACATGTTATTACCCAAAGTATTTCATTTATTTCCTTTGTCTTTTTTCCTTTTTTTGAAGCGACCTGATTATAAATTGTTGAAATTCGAATTTTTAATGTATAGTAAATTTGCTTTTCAATTGTTCCAGAATGTTTTTGTGGTCTCGAAGAGCGGGTTGTACCGTGCACAGCTTTGAATTTGAAGGTCACTTCATTTAGTTGTGGTGCTCCATGCACTGGGATGTATTCATGTGATATTCATAAATGTGAACTCAGGTAATTCAAATCTCTTTGCTCATTTGTTTTTCGTGAGTTCTTCTGCCCCTGTTTTTTTTATTATTGTTGCAAAGGCATATTGAAATACCTTGTATGTTACTGCTTATGATTACTTATTATTTGTACGAAATTATAGAATGAAGTTCAAATCCAAAACTAATCATTTATTAAACATTAATCCAGTGGATAGAACCGCTATCATGAAGAAATAATGTGGAGGTATCCGAATTCACGATCTCTCTGTTTTAGTTGCCGTAAACAAATAAGGGTTTAGTAATGTTTCGGATATGGTCTACATATAAGCGAAATTAATGGGCGTAAAAATTAAGTTTAATTGAAATTGTTTATATTTTACAGATTTTTGTTCCGAATAAAAATAAGGTGAGATACAGGTTATTTAAAAAATTTTCATCATACATCTCCATCGATTTCAGTAAATCATTACCTTTTGAGAATAAATCGAAGGATTAAAAAGTATTTCTTGCGGATCAGAAGATTTAATTTCAGATGTCATGACAAACATGGAAGGGATGATTGCGGACTGTGCAGTTTATCGCCGGAAAGGAAGGAATATTGTCCATGTGGGCGAACGCTTATTGTAGAATTAGAGAAAGTGACACGAACATCGTGCACTGATCCAGTTCCTACATGCAAAAATGTTTGTGGCAAAGTCCTGGCCTGTGGTCCAGAAGGTATATATTTTAATGACCTGTGAATTTTTGTCGACACATAGAGAGCTAAAGTTGTAATATACAAAGCCTTGTCGTTCTCGTAATTAAAAATACAAAACTGATGCTATTTTAATCAGTTGTCAATCGCACTGAAAAACATATTGAAAATTACATTTGTAGGCATTCTTTTTTTGTAGCCTGTAAATGTGGTAGAAAAGAATCTTTTTCCTTTTATTTAAAATTGATTTTGATTTTGCTTTCTGGGAAAGCATTCATAACGAATAGATAATATTGACTTGGTATAACAAGTATAATTTCAGATAAACCGCATCGCTGTATGCAATTATGTCATGTAGGATCTTGTTCTCGATGTCCTTCAAGTTGTTTGATAAGTTGCAGATGTAAAGCCGTGAAAAAAATAATACCATGCAAGGAATTTGTTCTTTACTCGGGTGAAATTTTACATCTGGGTATTTTCTAAAAAGAAAATTAGCAGTAATTTTATTCAATGGTTGTTGTTAAACATTGAAGCCAGGAATGATTGGTGTAACTCATAAAAATCGAACATTTTAATTATCTTTCATTAGTGTATCCTGTATCCAAGAATAGGATTTTAAGTTAGTGCGATGAAACTTTGTAGTAGCTTTAAAACGATGAATTTTTGAGTTCGCTGAAAATTTGGTTGGAGTTGTATATATAAAATTTAAAGTTTCTAATTCACAAACTAGTATTTTGTAGCCGAAAATCCGTATCTTTGTGTGCGGCGGTGTAAAAAATTGAAAACTTGTCAGAATCATCGATGCCGTGCCGTCTGCTGCATTGATGAGGAGCATGTCTGTATGCAGGTAATTTACACTTTTCGATTCTCGCATATTCAGTAGATGTGATGAATACGAATTTTGATTTTATAGATCTGCGGTAAAAAACTAAACTGTGGGATTCATAACTGCGATCGATTATGTCACGTTGGACAGTGCCCTCGATGTTTGCAAGCAAGTACGTTAAATTTTATTATCGTTGAATGAATGTGAAGCTAAGTTCGCCCTGTTCTCTTCTATATAATCGTACTTCCTAAATTAAATAGGATTCTGAAATTTCATATCCATATCCATATGGTGTATGAAATATATAATATCGCGTGAATATTGAAGTATTGCAAAGTGACATTTTTGAAGTTTTGGTTTCATTTATAAGAATTCATGACATTCATTGGTCGTTTCGTTTACTTTTTTCATTATTTTATAGGTTTTGAAGAGCAGTACTGTTTGTGTGGACACACCGTCCGCGAACCACCTGTTCCGTGCGGGACATCATTACCACCTTGCGATCAACCATGCTCACGACAACATCCTTGTAATCATCCCCCAATGCACAGCTGCCATGCTGAACCTGAGTGTCCTCCCTGTACTGTGCTTACTCAGAAACCGTGTTATGGTGCACATGAGGTTTTATTTCAATATCTTAGCATATTTTATTCAAAAATGCTGGCTGACTTGAGGTTTTTACTTGGTTTCGTCTCCTATTCAATCCTATTTTTTGGAACAATTGATAACCCTTTATCTCTTGACTCGCTTGTATCCGTCCAACTATACTTATACTGCTCCCACCAATCAGATATCGTTATTTTCACATTTATTTTAATAATTTCCAATTTATTAATTACTGTTTACGCTATCCTTAAGTCATATTTGAATTGCTGAGAGTTAGATTTCAATCATTTTCAACTCTTTAGAGTTAGAGAATTCATAGTCGCTAAATCATGACAATTACTTTATGCAACAAATTTTCATTATCATTCATTTTGAATGAAATTCTGTCACTTTTTAGTTAAGGCTAGTAAGGCAAATTTTTGGAAGATTTTGAAAAATAAATCTCTTCTTTTTAGATTCGCGCAAATATCCCATGTTTTTTAAACGATGTTTCCTGTGGACGCCCATGTGATAAGAAACTGTCGTGCAAAGTACATCGCTGCAAACGGATTTGTCATGCAGGACAGTGCTTAGTAAATGAGTGCCAGCAACCATGTAGTAAAAGAAGAGTTGGAGAAGCCTGTGATCACATCTGTGGCCTTCCATGTCATGGCGATACTCCTTGTCCCAAAAGTTAAGCTTTTTGAGATTTCGACAAATATTATATTATACAAGTTGCCAATAGAAAACTTAAAAATTGAAGTGTGAGTGGATGTACATGCAGAAAGTAGGTTGCTAGTGCGATGAGTCTTTACTACCAAAATCTTGTCAGAAAATGCAAGCAGAGAGTAGTTAAGTGTGAACGGTTTGATTGGCAATTCCACTGATTTGTTTTTATATTTATTTCTAATTTTAGCTCTTGTACAGCCAAAGTGGCCATCACTTGCTCATGTCTTCGGAAATCGTCTGAAATGCATTGTTCTGATGTTGAAAAAGCTTATCAAAAATTCTTATCATTGAAAGTAATGGAGGATAACCATTTGAATATATCTGCAGAGAATCGACTATTAAAAAGAAGTTTAAGTGTAGAGAAATATCATTGGTATGATTTTTTAGTCTTCATTGTTGCAAGCTGATTAAGACTGCTATAAACTTATAGCAGTCTTAATAAGCTTTTGATGGTTCACGACATTGATATCAAATGAAAAATAAAATAAAATATGGTAAAATATAGTGCATCATGACGTTATGTACAATTTGATATTAAAATGTAAAAATGCCTATGGTCTGATCTCATCGAATTCCTTATTAGCCTTTGATAATTGTGATTTTTATACCGTTGTTGTTTTTTATCAAGTAATAATTTTTCAGTCTTCCATGTGATATCGAATGTCAACGAGCACTGCGAAACAAGAAAATGGCAGAAATATTAAATATTTCTCGTCCAGATGCAACTAATGCTGTGTCAGTTTACACCACTTTTCTCAAAAATAAATTGAAAACAAATTACGAGGAACTTTTGGACATCGAAAACACACTGGTTGAACTTGTGCATGATTTGAATGCGGTAAGTTATCTATAACATTAGTATAATTTTTTGGAAAATGCACAAATATGACATTTTTTTTTAACTCCGTGCTTTCTTTTAACTATGGTGATAAAGTCATTGCTGAGAAATTTAATATTAGCCTATCTGTAGCCTGCCTCTCAGCCTACTTGTTAAGAAACATAAATTGCTTTAGTTTAAAATGCTTTGCACTAATATGCCGTTTACAACTAAATTACGCTATAAAAGATGAGACTACTCGAATCATTATTTCCTGGCAATGTTTTGACTATGAAATAAAATACAAAAAATGATTGATACAGGTCTGTGCAGAAAGTCCTATGATTTTAAAGCTTAAAATATCATTCATCCATCTTATTATGCATGCATTTCCCTGATTATGCATTTCCCCTTAACCAAAACGATTCATTTGCAAATCAGATTAATAGAAAGGGAGCACTTATTACAGGATCCAAATGTGACAACGGTTAGTCACTCATTTCCACCTATGTACTCGGAAATGCGCCGTATAATTCATGAATATAGCAGACATTTTGGCATTGAAACAGCCAGTTATGGCCAAGAACCAGGAAGAAATGTAGTTGCCACTGCTAAACGGTTGGTTAAAGATTGAAACTCCAAATAAAATGCAAAATTTTAGTTTGCAGTATTTTTTATTACGTCATTTAGACAGAAATGATGTTGCGATTAAAGTTTCCCTTATTTTGATTTTACTAAACATTTTTATCTAGGATTTTTACATCACTTGTTGTGAGACATGTTAAAATTCTTCAGGGATGTGAGTTGTATGCCAGCTGTACTTCTTACAGCTACTAAAAGATATTCAGAAACATCATCAACGTAAGATTTTCATTATTTTATTAATTTAAATTAATTATATGATTTACTTGACAACTAAAATTTAATATCTTAAAGATATCCATTATTATTGCTATTAATGGCTTTATTTATTTTCAATCTGTTGTGCACATTATTCGATACGATGTCACTAAGGCTTATTTTGTTCCATGAAGTCATATGACAATTTGACTTATGCAATACTTCTATTAATGTAGCGACTACAGCTCTTTTTTGCCTGTCTAACACAGTGAAATCTCTGGGTAGGATTTGTGAGGGAAGAATGCTAATGGAGGGAAGGTATTCTATATCATTTGAATATTTCAAGACGGAGCTGGAGATCTTAGCAAACAAATTAAAAAACATTTTCAGATCAGGCACTGTGGCAGTTGTTCCACCCAAGACTCTATCATCGATTTCAAAAAATTTATCTGTTGAAAACAGAATGCAGCAGTTACAATCAGTAGGGAAAGTATTAAAACGAGGTGTTAAAGAACCACTGACATCACAAAAATAGGGTTTCTTTGATTTTTTTGAATGATTTTAATGAGACAGATATTTATTTCTTCATAACTTTTTAAACTATTTTAAATAACTCTATGCTAAATTTATTCTTTCTTTATTTACACTTCCTTTATAAGACGATGTTTTTTATTAAAAATAAGCAAAATGGAATATATCTATCGAAGCTATGCACTGTTTCACACACTCCATAATTTTACAATAAATGTAAAGAAACTAAGATATATGAATGGTTGTTTGATTTTAATATTGTATTAACAATACACCATTATGTAAAACATTTTGAGACGTGGTTAAATATCCATTGTTTATTATCAAATTTCCTTCAGTTCTGTGAAGACTGGCACTGTGATTAAATTTATGATTCATGGTCTCATCATAATGATATGCATATTCTGAAATGCAACGCAAGAAAATGAATTATTTCTTAATTACTATCGATGGACTGCATCTCTAATGCCGATGAGAGAAATTTTTATATTTTCATATTCATATACAATGTACATTCCTGTTAGAGGCTTATTAATTTTGTTTACTTCACATTTATTTTTAGGCAAAACTGTAGATAGAATAATAGTTCATATATAATAGGAACAAAATCATTATTACTGATTTTATTCACGGGACCATTTTTTATTTTACGAGTTATGTTTTTTTCCGCGATAATTCTATTTATTGACGTTTTTTTTTTCATCAGTATTCGTTTATCTTTTTATTTAGTCTTATTAAAAGTTCTTTAATGCTTTTTTCTTCTTTGCAAAACTGTTCCGTCTTTATGTACTTTGAATTTAATCTTGTTGAAATAGAATTTTGGAAGTCAAAAGTCGTTCTTTTGCTTATTCCTAATACAGTCTCACAATTTGGCGTTTCCATAAGAAATAATGGATGGACTCCCTTTTCATCTGTATTCATCTCTATTTTTATGGGCTTCATTTGCATTCAATTGCATAGTTATGCTATGGTTTTTTTTTTCTTAACTTTAACCTCTTTGTCTTAATTGATATTCCCTCTTAACATTAACTTTGAGTAATCGCATCACTTATCCAATTCTAAAAATCTAATAAATTACGTGAGAAAGGAAGAAATAATGAAGTTTGTCGAAATAAACGGCCAATGGACGCTTTCATTCCGTGACGAACAGCAAAAATTGGACAGCGAAGCTGATGGTTTGTTGCTACATCTTTCCTGTGCTATAAATTTTTTGACATATACTTCCCAGGATATCGATAATGGTACACTATCATAAGGGAGTAGATGAGAGGATTTACAAAGTAGCAGGAGTTGTCAATATTAGGAATGACCATTAGGACTTAGAGTTGATGGATTTCCATGTGATTTCATACTAATATTTTATGAATTATTTCATGTTAGTATTGCAATTCTAATAATTTCATAAAGTCGATGGGTTTCAAGGATCATCTTTTTGAATGTTCCTTACGACTTTGATTAAATCATTCGGTAAATGCCACTAGTTTAGTTTCTGTGTATTCTTTTCCATGGGCATTTTAATCTCTAATGAAATCTGAAATAATGTTTCCACGTGTATTTCTAAGAAACAATACAATATTTGTTTTAGCTGAAGAAATGGCGAAGGTTATAAAGAATGCTGATGTCGTAGAAGTTCTGGAACTTCGGGGTAATACTGTAGGCGTTGGAGCCGGGCAGCGACTTGCACATGCACTAGAATTTCATCCAGAATTGAAGGTTATTTTACACTATAAAATTAGATCGATTGAAAACAATATAATTTTTTGCAAGAATAAGTCTTCGACCCATCCTAGCTAGAAATATGCTTATACATACAAATTTGAAGCTCTCTTTGAGTTTCGTGGTTTTAAATTTGAAAATATATGCAGAAATCGGGAATGAGAGTACAGTCTTTTTTTTCTGTTCAAAAATTTCTCTGCATTTATGATTTTAGCATAGGCTAATGCGTACTCGTATTTACTCTTTTCATTTACTACTTGTTGTTTTTATCAATAATTATTCTTTTTATTTAATGTAGAAGCTTTCTTACTACCTCACCCATACTTCATTTTTATAAGTCTATTACTGTTCCGTTGTGTTAGTTAGAATTGAGGTTTAATTCTCTTCCATTTCTTGACTCGTGAATAAAGATCGCGAATTTCCTAGCTAACTGAAATTACAAAATCAGCTCCGAATTTAGAGAAAAACTAGAAAGCATTTCATTTATGGAAAAAAAGAATAAGTTGTGAAGAAAATGTGCTGAAGTGCGAAACATTTAGTCTTTTTTCTTCACTATTTAGATGGTTTCATGCTAATTAGATGATAATTAGTAGTATCACAATTAATTTGAAATGATGATTGATTGTTGTTATTTAATTCGATGAAATTTCAACCTAGATATGTTACTTTATTGAATGAGAGATATGATTCTTTATTCTTAATCTTCAATTCCGATCGATTTCTTTCAGCGAGCATTATGGAGTGATATGTTTACTGGACGACTGAAAGAAGAAATTCCTCCAATTCTGGTTCCATTTCAGTTGTTGATTATAATTTATTTCAGAATTTTTAGTAGTGAACAAAATCGCTTGTAATTCCTTATTCCACCTCAAACTAATATATAATATATCTGATATAGAAAACTCTCATCTTCAAGAAAACATGCTTTTGAGTAATTATGTGGGAATATTTATTGCTCAATTATATTTTGCTCAGATCAAGTTCCCTATTGAAATTTCCAGTATTATGGTGGTGTACTGGAGAAGGACTCTGTAATTATTTTTGAAAATCTGAAATGTTTTGAAAAGAAACAGAAATGAAGTTTACAGCGTTCTCTGTGTGGTGCTATGATTAAGTGTGGGACGCGATTAGTCGAATTAGATCTTTCGGACAATGCATTCGGTCCAATCGGTGCAGAAGGACTTGAGGACTTCCTTGAAAGTTCTTCGGCATATTCGTTAAAAGTGTTGAAATTGAATAACAATGGCTTAGGCGCTGGAGGGAAGGTAAATTAATTTCGAGTATTTTATGGTATAAAGATTTCGTAACAGCATATTATGGTTGAATATTTTCACGCACCTGTAGACCAATTCCTTATATTTAGCATAGCTATATATAAGGCATTAGTCTTGTAAAGAATAAATCGTGTGAATGACCTATTCGTTAATCGGTTAAATAATTTACATAAAAAAACTTTTCCAATTAATCACTAACGACTTATTCTTAGGCTTCTTCCGAATCCCATTAAGAAATTTCAGATTATTGCAAAAGCACTTATACAATGCCATGCAAATGCAGAAAGAGATGGACAAAATTTTCAGCTGAAGACTTTTATTGCTGGTAGGAATCGTTTGGAGGACCCCGGAGCCTTTGCTCTAGCAAAAGCTTTCCAAGTATTGTTGATAAAATCTTTTTTATTTGCTAGAACTGTTAGTAATCAACAAACTGAGCAATTTCAATTGAAATCATGATTTACAGAAAATTAAAAGCCGTGCTTCGCTTTTGATTTGAATTCTGAGAATTTGGAAATGAATTCTAATTTTATTCAGGTTTTGGGCTCTTTGGAAGAGATAACAATGTATCAAGATGGCATAAGAGCTAAAGGAATTGAAGCTCTTTCAGATTCATTTCGTTACAATCCTAATTTAAAGATAATAAATCTTAGTGATAACACGTTTACAGTAACGGGAGCTCGTGCAATGGCGAAGGTTCGCGTTTGTTTATTTATTGTAGCAAGTATTCTTTTTACCTATATAACTGTAAATCTTTATTAGCATAGCACACTTTTTTGTTGTATATGAGATACTCAAAAATGAATATCTATTGTTTTTATTTGAATTTAAATGGTGAAAGATTAGTGAACTGTAAAATTCCATTTCGAAGATATCCGAAATATAATTTGATTAGGCTGATTTACATCTACTAAAATTCGAAAATATTTTTAAATTACAAATCCTTGCGAAGAGGAATGATACTCATGATTATAGTAGATCAGTAGGTGAATCTGTGGTATTCCAGTTGATGTTAATAAACTTTTGGCTTAAATTTAAGTAGATTTGCGATTTTTTTCTAGGTAATTCAAGATTTGATGAATCTTGAAGTTTTGAATTTTGGAGATTGTTTGTGCCGAGACAAAGGTGCTTTAGCTATAATTGGAAATATTTCGATGTCATTTCACTCGAATTTGAAGGTCTATTTGGAATTTTTCTTTTTCTTTTTTTTCAGTAGTTTTGTTTGAATGGTGTATGTTGATTTGTAACACCTAAATTGAATACAGTTCATCTTTAATTCTCATTATTATCTGTTTGTTATTTGAAGCGCTCTACTGGAAATTACAGAACAACCAGTTTTAAGCTGAAATAAAATTGATGCCAGTATCAAATTTCTATTTTGATAAAGTCAGAATAGATAGATACCAAAATAATCAAAGAGCAGTAAAAAGTATACCTTTTGTATTCCTTGAAGGATGTGATTTATAGATTTTCATATAGAGAATATCTGGAGTTGTATGTTATAGGAAATCAATTTATCGGGGAATGAACTGAGTCCACGCGCGATCGAGACAATCCTCGATAGAGTCAACCAAGGATTGCATTTGAAATCACTCGTGTTGCATACAAACAATATGGGAGTTCAGTTTGATGAAGTTAAATCGAAATGTGACAAATATAGTTTTATTGATTTAGGTGAAGAGAGGTTTGTGCTTCGATAAAAAGCTGTTGAATAATTTTCGCGATATTGGTTTATTCTTTTGCTCTTTATCTTCTCTTTAGATGTGTTATAAAATAATGCTTGTACCGATTCACTGAGCATTTGTCCTTAATTTGGATTCCCTTGCTTTAATGGGTAGGTTAATCTAACGTCTTTTGGATATACGTCGTATCGCATTTTTTATTTCTAATTGTCAACAGCTCAATAAAAAGTATTGTTAATTTTCGAATTATGATTGCAGTGATGATCAAGGGAGATTGGATGAAGAGGAGGAAGATAATGACGACTCTCAGGAACTTTATTCGGAAGAAAGCCACTCCAGTGAATTGAACAATGAAGATAATAAACAAGTAGAAGATAGTAACGGTGCACATAATACTTTTGTTTCATTCTTTTTTTCTTCAAATATGTTTTTGATATTTTCGAGAAATGCGGAAGAGTTGCAGATGTCAGCTCCCTTCGTTCTAATCATTCTTTTTGTACAAAGTAACCAGTAGCAAACTGCCTTAATATTTAAGATCAGGATAGCAAGACTTAATGCTTCTTCACTTTTTCCGTCAAAAATTTTTCTGTATTATATTGGCTTCGAACTGCTGTTTAATTCAAAATTTTTTGCTAGAAAGCAATGATAATTTGAAAATAATTCCAGGTATTACATTCGACAGGTCTTTGGAACTTGACAGCTATCAGACAGTAATTTCATTTAGAAATCAACAGTGGAATTCTGAAGAGGATGGTGAGCACAGCTTTTATCAAGTTTAACTTTGGTTTTTTCATTTCGAAAAAGTTTTCCCAACGAAGATTTTTTTTGAAAGTGCTGAGTTGATTGCTTTTTCAAAGCTTATTATTTGACATTGAAAGATTACTCTCTGTTGTAGATGCTGTTTTATTACTTAATTCCCGTTATTTCTTTATTTTTATGAAGTCACCAGCAGTGCTCATTTTGTGGCGAACTCTGTTGTTAACTTCATTATAAAGTATAAGAAGAAAATAACGGAAATTCGCATAATAAACGAAGAAACAAGCTTTGCATATGAATTTTATTGCAGCTGAAGCCGTAAGCCAGGCATTATTGTCGCAGAAGTTTGTGAAGGTATTGGATTTGCGTAGAAATCATATAGGCGTTGGCGCATGCAGAATGATTGCAGAGGTTCTGCGAGAACGCATGAAAAGGGTGAACCATCATTTGTAAAATTATTTTAAATGTAATATTGCATCTGCATCAAACTAGTAGGGTTCATTTTCCTATGTAACTTCTAACTTAATGAGAAGTTACGTAAGAAAATGAAGGTGTATAAGTGGGACAATAAGCTATGTTTTTTTTAGAAAATGACAGTTTTATGTTCAAATACGTTGCAGAATATGCAGAGCTTAGAAGAAGTGAACCTAAGCGAAAATGGTATCACTGCTGAAGGTATGTTAGAACTCGTTCATGCATTCAAAAGCAATTCAAAGTTGAAAATCATCATTCTCAGTGGAAATACATTAAAAGTTGCCGGTGCCGTTGCTGTCGCTGAGGTAAGTAAACTATGTCTTGTTGCTTTGGTATTGTCAGGAATTGGAAACTACTTCTTTATTCAAGTAACTGAGATCTAAAAGGCATTTATAAATTTTAGTTAAGTTTTTTTTTTTTTTTTTGATAATAAAACTTGTTTAATAATTACAAGTTGTGCAAAAATCGGACGAAACTGCCTCTCGTATATTTGTGCAGCAGCTTTTAGTTGATCTATTTTTTATCGCAATCATATTTTTTTAACGAGCTTTCCGTTAGAATTCCATTTTAATTTTAACAAAGAATCAACGAATTTATTTTCAGGTGTTATCTTCATTACACTTACTTGAAGTTCTGGATCTCAGTTTTTGCACTTGCTATGAAGACGGAATTCTGGCAGTGGCAGCAAATTTAAGCTCGTCTATACATCTACGTCTGAGGGTATTATTTTTCAGCTAATCATTTACTGAATTTCCTGATGCGTGGCAGGTGACTCCTGTGATTTTCTTATAATTATTTATAAATTAATAAAACATACATGAAATAACGGAAGAAATATCTTCTTGACTATTTATTCTAAAATTCATGCGAGGATATCATTGAGATCTAGCACAGACTTGTTGATGATGCTGAATTGCATCGAATAGCTTTCTTTTACTCCAATCGATATAGGCATCTGCTTAACAGCTATCTAAAGAATGACTGTTCAGACTGCCACTGACACTGGTTCTCGATTTTATGTGATTTGAATTTCTTTCAAAATTAATCAATGGATTTAATTTGAGAATTTTATTTATTTAATATTCATCTCTCTATGGTATTTAAGTTAATTCCGCAATTATTTTCAAATTTTCATATTTGTAGGTTTTGGATTTCTCGTCGAACGCTTTAGGAGCGGATGCAGTACAGCAGATTGTACGTGTTTTTGCAAGCGGTGGATTTCATTTGGAGCGTCTTTCATTGCATTCTAACAATATCGGACATCGTTTCGGTGAATTGAAAGAAGAATTTTCCTACATCCGGTTCCTGGATTTGGGAAGCGAAAGGTAGAATTTCGGTACAGGAAAATTGAAGGAAGATAGAAATCGAAATCCATTTTTTCTTGGACTTTACTTTCTATCTCCTTTCAATTTTAGTAAAATTAGTAAAATTACGATGCTCAAATTAAATATAGAAAAAATTTGGAAGAAAACTGTAAGTTGATTAGCGCTTACATATTGTTCCTGAAGTCGATTCTTTAAATTTATTTGAAATTTATTTGAAAATCGTACATGAAAGAGTATTCATGTTATTAGCCAACTTTATATAATTTAATGAGACAGATGAAATTTGTGATATTGTATTTGATTTTCCTTTTTATAGCGATGATCAAGGCTCTTTGATGGAGGAAATATCTGCCAACTATGGACTGAAACGAGAATCGTGGAATAAGGATGATGATCAATATATCAGAGCTCTTGATAATGTACGAAAAAAGGAACTCATATATCTAAGCATGATTGAGTCTAAGACAATGTTTTCAGTAATTCTTTTCCGGTTGATTAATTATAAATATAAATTGATTTTATATAACTGTTTTCTTTTGTGGTTCAATGTTTTCACCGATGCTAAAATTTTAGGATACAATTTTGTTCATAACAAAGCCGTCAGTCGCAATGCTGGACGTTTTATTGTCACATATGAAGAATGTCATCGAAACACTACTCGTACGCTACTTTTTCCTCTTTTTGCCTTTGTTTTCCAAATAAGGCTTTTTTTGTTATATATTCTTTACTTTATATATTTTTTTCATCGCACAATCGTTGAAATCTTCCGATTGTTCATCTGCTAGCATCTGCGGAGCAGAAGCATTAAACTTGATATATTCTTTTTTTTTTCTAGTCTTCAATAATACTTTATGTTTATTCAGTGTTTTAGAATGATTTATATGGGAGGACTCAGGAAATGACAGCAGCTTTATTGTGTGCTTGTTGCACATTGCTTTCTGTGGAAACGTTTAATAAGCAAGTATTGAAAGAGAAAATCGTAACATTGACAGGTCAACTCTTTTTTGAAATGTTTGATTGTTCGAAAAAAATAATTGTGGCACTTTATGTGGTATCGTTAAATCTTCAGATGGATTGGCAGTACTGAAGTTTAATATTGACGATTTACAATTTCAAGTCTGAAAAAGCTAAGTCCCCGATTGAAAAATAATCACCGTAATAGGCTTTCTGAAACTTTTGAAAATAGAATATAGTGAAAATTAAAATTCAGCGATGCGATAAAGCAATTCTTATAAAGCTCGTGATAATTATGAACTATTGAAATGTTTTTTAACGATTAGAAGTAATCATCTTCTAAAATGTTAGATTTTTAATTGTGCTTTTTCTGGTTTTTTTTTTTTTTAATATGAGAATGCAATTCATTTATTATGTAAATTCAGATACGATCTTAACTGCAGCGAATAAAGTCGAACGTCGACCGGTTTCGGCGACGGAATCAATATGTAATCAGCTATTGGCATTCGCAGGTGCTGTTCGGGTTTGTTATTTTTTCATATATCCAAGTGACAGTTTTGTCAGCAAAAGGCATTTGTATAAGCACTTTTCTGTATTAGAAGTTTAAATACTCGAAATGATGGTCACTGTATTATTTTTCTCGCTTTTAGTAAAAATAATTATCGAAAAAAAATATAAGCAAAGGGAACGGATGGGTATTTTATATTAGTAAATGTGTGCAGATTATGAAAATGCACATGCTGAGAGCAGTTATCACTTCTGATAAGCAGTTCTGATCCAAGATTTTTTATGTCATTTGCAATCACTTGCAGTCGGAAAGCCCTCAATCAGTGGCTGATATCAGCAGTGTGATTTTTTTACTAGAATCAATGATAAAGCGCGGACACTTTCGAGATTTGCATCGAACCATTGCTTTTTCATTGTAAGTGATTTCATTTTCAGTCTCTATGAAATGTTAAAGTGTACATATCATGGTATTAGCTAAAACGGAAGTGATTTTTAATAAAGCTCCATATTAAAAATCACTTCCGTTTTAGGCAATATAAAGATACGTATAAGAAGCAGTCATTTCTCAGGATTTCAAGATTTGGCATTCATGTATCTTCACTATTGCACATATTTTGTTTTTTTTTTTTGAAAAATGAATTTATAATTGTCCTAAGTGCTGAAATGATGGATTTCTGGTGCGTCCTCTTATTTTCCTACAGAAATATGAAAAGTACGATTTGCTTACTTAATTTCAGCAACGCGATAAAACAAACCTGTCCGGATCGAAGTGTTGAAATTGACCGATTAATGCAGGTCTTGAAATTCGAGTAAAGACTTGAAGAAATTCAGGGACGTATGCTGAAAAGATTTTCTTTATTCTTTAACTTATCTTTTAAGTTTAATTTCGCTTCATTCTTTCACCAAAAATTGTTGATGTATGAAATTGTTCGTAATTTGATATAATGGCTATTCAATGGGAATACCAAATAGCTTTTTTCTAATTTTAACCTTTAATTATTGTATAAGAGGATAATTTTCGTCTGGAATTTCCTATAGAAAAGAAGCTTCACAATACAGCTTCACAAAAAAGAAGCTTTGCTGTCTTAATATTTGCTCCTTCTGCTATTAATGTTATACATCATTTCATGCCCAATATTATTATGCCTTGCTCACTCCTCTACGGCATGATTTTTGTTTTTGTTTGGTTGATACATGTTGAAACTCCATAGTTGTATAGTAGACATTATGTTCACGGTCAAAATGTAGATTTTGCCTATCACTCAAGAAATTTTTGCAATTATGTTAAAGATTTCTCATACATAAAATAATCTTATGTATAAGAATTAGTCACGTAGATGAAAGAACTGTATAAAATAGGGAAAAAAGTAATTAGCATATCATTTTTTTCATAATTTTCCGGGAAAATCAGTCGTGCGGATGGTTCAAATAACAGAATTAAGTTGTATCAAACACTAATTTTTAAAATATTATGTCAACATTTTCGATCTCAGCTCCTTTCGGTTTTATTTATTATTATATCTTAAATACATATTTCCAGTAAGCCTTATTATCCAATTCATTCCTCAGTGCTTATTGCTTCTTTTCCATTCTAGGTGTTTCACATGTTTCGGGCGCAAGAACATATTTGCTATTTGTATGCATTACGTTGTGATTAAAGCTGCTGAATGTCGCTCAAATAACTTCTGTAAAACTTACAAAAGTGTACCAAATTCATATATACCATTACTCAGTAATTTTTTAAAAAGTACTTGATGACTGCGTTGGCTGATTTTCATAATACAATTTGATGAGGTGGTCGAACTTTATGTTTCGTCATTGTTCACGAATTTTATTTCTTTACCAAATCGTAGAGGTGATGAGAGGAATGGGATGAGTTTTGTGGTGTTGAATTAAGGTTAGGTATTCTTTTGTTACTGTTTTAAGCCAGGAGAGTTTACTGTGATGACTGGTATGATGAAGTTTGAAGTGCCTCAAGCATTATGAATTTTAGCGATTCGGAGTCAAACTGCGCGTATTTGTTTAGATCTCAATATCCATCAATACTTGTTTTATTTTGTTGTTTGCAAGAGTGATGGACAGTTTCAAGTGTTCAATTCATTTTAACAAATTGAATTGAATACTTGAATAAATTACTCACTGTCGGTTATGTAGCTTGTTTTACTTAATACAATTCGTTTTTTTCTTTTTCAAGACGTGATTTATGGCTTCAAGGATTCTGACAAATTGTAACCGCTCGGTTTCGCGTTTATTATGTGACCCAAAAACATTAAGGAGTGTGGCTGCTCTAACATATGCTTCTTCATCAGGTATTGACGAGTTCATATTCCTAAATTTCTCGATACTGTTTATAATGGAGTCTTTCCAGCAAAGCAGGAACCGAAGACTTTTGAGAGGAATAAAATTAGAAAGGAATTGCTTGCAATTCGAATCTTTGTGGAGATAGGTTGAACTGCTTGCCTTCATTTTTTTTTTATTAAAAGACCTTCCATCTAATGTTTTAATTTTCAGTTAACTTTGAGAGATTAAAATAAGTTTGGATATTGCGCTTTCATCGGTTTTCACTCATTTGCCGTTTTTTTTCAGTCAATTTACAAGAAAGAAATGTCATTCCAGTTAACTGCCGGATGGGATTGCATTCATCCACCTCAGTATTGGTTACTGCAGATGTTGCTAAAAAGGTATCATTAGTTTTAGAAGTAGTAGGTGCACATAATTTGTGATTTCTAAATTTATATTTCCTTTATTGTACAGGTTGTATCTACACCACCGAAACCGACAGCAAAAGGTTCGAAAGGACGCATAGTAGCAGTAATTGGTGCAGTAGTGGATGTGCAGTTTGACGAGGGACTACCATCAATTCTCAATGCACTTGAAGTATCTGGACGGAAACCACGTCTTATCTTGGAAGTTGCACAACATCTTGGTAGGTTGAAAGATTTGGACGAGCAGATGAGGAAATATATGGCTCTATAAAAATTTTGCTTGAAAAAAAAGACTAACAAAAGCTTTTTATAATAATGTAGACAGAATGTCGTTGTTTGATTGAATGGGCCGATGTTGGACAAATTTCTGACCTTGCTACCGATTGAACTAATTGAAACAACTAAAAGATCCTTATAAAATTAATTCATGTCTTCGGTTCTGAAATGTTTCACTTACGGATTAATTTTTTAGGTGACAATGTAGTGCGAACAATAGCTATGGACGGTACGGAAGGACTTGTTCGAGGAGATGAAGTAATAGATACTGGCGATCCGATCAAAATCCCAGTTGGGCCCGAAACGCTTGGTCGTATCATGAATGTTATTGGTGAACCAATCGATGAACGAGGCCCTATCAATTCCAAACATTTTTCTCCAATTCACACTGAAGCACCAGAATTCATCGACATGAGCGTGGAGCAAGAAATTCTTGTGACTGGAATTAAAGTTGTCGATTTACTTGCGCCGTATGCAAAGGGTGGTAAAATTGGTAAGAATTTTGTGTTATGAATTTTGTAGAGTTTACATTTATCCAAGATCTTATATGTATTGTTTCAAATTTTTAGTGAATTTAACGGAGATAAATTAAAAGATGTGCAACTGATTTTTGTGGATTAAGAATGGGAAAAAAGTAAAGACATGCTGCAAATCATCATATCAAAATTACTCTGCTTCATGGATGTTCTGTTGACTTACTTAACTAATCCGAAATCTTCGAAATCGTGTTTCATTGACTTCACTAAAAAACAATTTTAATATCTTAAATTAATTATTACAAAAATTATCAGTTTGTTTACAGTAAGTGATGACACGATTATAAGAGCATTGTTATATTGAAATTTCTGCTCTTTCGAAGCTGTATGATTGTTTCTCGAAAATCGTGCAGTCAAAATGAGCATAAATTATATGTTAGAAATATATCTACAAATATTATATTACCTCCATTTTTGCTGGTAGTATTTAAAGATTTTCATAACCACATCTTTCTGCAACATCAGTTTCTTCGATTATAGTATAAAACTTATTGTTGCGAAAGTATTAACTTCAACTCCTTATATTTTATTGAATAGATGTAACTCAAATGCAATTCAAAAAAAAAAAGGATTAGAACATGAAAAATCATAAAACTTCAGCATTTAGAAATATATCCAAAATATTAGGATATATTTTTAAATGCTGAAGTTTTATGATTTTTTCATATTCTAATGCTTTGTAATATAAGTTTAGGATTGTTTGGCGGAGCTGGTGTAGGAAAAACTGTGCTAATTATGGAATTGATCAATAATGTCGCCAAAGCGCACGGTGGTTACTCAGTGTTTGCTGGTGTTGGTGAACGTACTCGAGAGGGAAACGATTTATACCACGAAATGATTGAAGGTGGTGTCATCGATCTAAAAGGCAAAAATTCGAAAGTTAGTTGCATTGTCTATTTTTTCACACGGTGCAACTCCAAGAACTTTGTTAATAAAGATACACATCTTGCATTAAAAGCATCAATCCTTCCTTTTTTGTGCCTGTTAGTTGCATAAATTTGAGTAGAAAGTGTAAACAGCTTTATCAATTGTCATCATTAATTTCTTGAAAGGTAATTTCAAAAGAATATACAAATACAATCACATTAGAGCGAAAGAATATTGTTCAATAATTCATTTGTAAAAATCCTTTAAGGTATCTCTTGTATATGGGCAAATGAATGAACCACCAGGAGCACGAGCGCGAGTTTGTTTGACTGGTCTAACAGTTGCTGAATATTTCCGTGACCATGAAGGACAAGATGTTTTGCTTTTCATCGATAATATTTTCCGATTTACGCAAGCTGGTTCTGAAGTCTCAGCATTGCTTGGACGTATTCCATCTGCTGTAGGTTATCAACCAACTTTAGCAACAGATATGGGTAGCATGCAGGAGCGAATCACTACAACCAAAAAGGTTTGTTTTTTTCTGTTAGCCAATTCTGAGTGGAAATGCTAATTGTTCAGAAATATGCTTAAGCTAAATTCTTGAATTTAACTAAATCTTTCAGTATTTCTTTTAGCATATTTAGCATCATCAGCTTGAAACATGTACAGTTTCGCTGTTGAGTTTCTCTGGTACCATTAACTTGGTTGATAAATTAAAAACTAGGTTTGACTTTTTTTTCAGGGCTCGATCACATCAGTGCAAGCCATTTATGTACCTGCTGATGATTTAACAGATCCAGCTCCAGCAACCACATTTGCCCACTTAGATGCTACTACTGTCTTATCCCGAGGCATTGCTGAACTAGCTATTTATCCTGCTGTAGACCCGCTCGATTCAACATCTCGTATCATGGATCCCAATATCGTTGGGCAAAAGCATTATGATATTGCTCGCGGTGTACAAAAAATTTTGCAGGCAACTTTTTTACTTTTCTTAACTCGAACCAATCTAATTAGTTTTTAGGTTCTTAATTACTTGTTAAGCCTTCGATGTTATTATCCTTTAATGAGGACAATTTGGAATGTTAAAGTCCCAGTTTTCATTTCATTTTATCAAAATATAACTTTTAAGATGCAGAAATTTTTTGCATCTAAAGACGGATAAGATACTCATTAAAAGAGCGATCATCTAAAAAAATAGAATGCCAAGCTATAAGCAGTTTATTTGTCGCAATAAATCTCAAAAATAGTTGTCTTGCAGGATTACAAATCATTGCAAGATATCATTGCCATTCTCGGCATGGATGAACTGTCAGAAGAAGATAAGTTAGTGGTGTCGAGAGCTCGGAAAATTCAGAAATTTTTGTCGCAGCCATTCCAAGTTGCAGAAGTTTTTACTGGACATAAAGGCAAATTTGTAACTCTCGAAGAGACAATCAAGGGATTTGAACTTATTTTGAAAGGTAGGGAAAAACTTTCTTTGATTTTTAGAATAATTGTCTTGCTTAAGCACACCTAATAATTAATTGATGATCTTTTTTTTTTACTTTTGGCGTTTTGGAAAGCAGTTTTGCAAGCCTTTTATTTTAATTATCGATTAATTTTTGACGAAGTTTTCGAATTTAGATACATATATGATCAAGAGTGCGTATGGTAGGTAGTTAATCTTAAATTCATTTTTTCTTAACCGACGTAATTGGGATAGATTTTACTACAGTGGGATGGTTCTCAGTGCTCACTTCTCCCATTAGGATCTAAATGGTGTTTCTACTGCATCTTGTACACTATTTTTACTATGTCTTATCCGGTGATAGTATCGCCAGAGTTTGGATGGTATTTTATTCTATACCTACTAATTTTACTTCATTTCAGGTGAAATGGATCATTTTCCGGAAGTAGCATTTTATATGCAAGGTGGAATCGATGACGTGGTCCTAAAAGCTGAAGAACTGTCCAAGCAAAATGTATGAAGTGTCCATCCAGTTGATGATTACAGTGTCTGTTACCCGGTATTAAGTAATAGTAGTTTTTCTTCAGCCTAATTTCGTTTATGTTGTAAAGATGGCACTGTGCTATTATTGTAAGCTTTGGGAAACAGCGGAATATTTTACTGTTATATGTGTTAGGTTAAACTTTGTTTTATTTGCATAATGATTGTGCTCACAGTTCATCAGTTCTCCGATATTTACTTAATACTTGGTTGATTGGCTTATTGAATATTTATGATTCAAGAGTGATTGTTTTAATGATTTCATGAGACGATTTTAGGAAGTAAATGAAGCACTAAAATTATATGTTCGGCTTCAATTCAGAAATGTTTCTGTTCTTTACATGTTTGGAAAATATCGGTTCTGTTCGTAGAGTAAAATTTTTAGAACTAAATTTTTTCACATAAATTGATTCGAAATAGTTCTTATTTCGAACCAATTTATCTGACTGAATGTATTACAGATATCCACTGTGATCGAGTTTTTTATTAGGCTTTTCGAGATGGTAGAAGAGAAATGAACAACGTATAAATGAATTTCTACATGAATTCACTCTTTTCTGTGGAAAAGGAACTAATCAAGACCTTTAATCTGTCATGATATGTTGAAGTTTCTTTTCAACTTCTCAGAAGGTTCCAGTGTCCGATACACATTCTTAAGCAGGTCGTTTATAACCTTTTTCTTTACATGTTAATCGTCATGCCCCATTTTGGGTTGACCCATGTTCACCTTAGATTGGAACTTCTCTTTAAACTGATGTCTTATTTTTAGGTTTGAATCAAATTACATATGGATGAGTTTTTTGTGAAACTTTTGAAGTGTGTGCCTTTAATTTTATAGCACTGATCTTAAAGGTAAGGTCAGCACGAGCATAAATTCTATGAATGACTTAAACCAATAAAAAAAAATTTTATGCAGGTAACATTCAACTGAAATTGTCAGACTCATGAAGAGTTACTCCTTGTCTCTACGTATATTCACTAGAAATAATTCCATACTGAAAGAAGAATATGATTCTATAATTTCGGTACAATTTTTAGTGGTCATTGGTGAAGCTAAAGTGGAAGTGAAGGATTCGAAAAGAAGGCTTTTGTAATCAACTTTGGTCACTTGAGCCATAGTTGAAGCACGTCGTTCAGATGTGTCACGAAGATGAGCAAGTAGCGCAAGCATCCGATGTAGAAATTTCGGCATTGGTTGGATGGATGGCAACAAATAGTGATGGTATACATGATACAAATATTGTTGAATACTGTTCAAGACTTGGCGCTCGAAACTACAATTTCATAAATTATCCAGTTGGCGGTATGAAACGATCTTCATGGCGCCCTGAAAGGTTAATGCTTTTGATTTATATATTTTGCAACTACAACTTCGAAGGATAGAAGTGCAGTAAACTTAGTAATTATCGAGTAATTTATTAGCAGGATCAAATCATAAAAAAATATTGTGAAATTTATTTTTCTGTTGTCAATGGAGAACTTATACAAATGATATACACATTCGAAGTAGCATCAATTTAGGTTAGCTTTATGATAAATTAGTGTCGCTTAGTTGATAGAATTAACTTCAACTTTTTGGTTGCAAAATTTTTTTATTAATGTGATAAATAGATAGAGCAGTGAATAAAACTGATAGGTTTCGAGATTTAATGATTGTTTTCCTTCAACTTGCATTTTTATAAACAGTGATAACTACTAACGGGGGAGGTAATTTAGATCATAACACTGGAAATTTATCTGCAAAATGGAAAATGAAATATGTTATTATGTTTTTAGAAACAGCGCTCCACCACCGATAGATCTGCCGGATTTGCAACTTGATGTTAAATTATGGGGAACATATGTTATAGGAAGGATATCGGACTGGATAGATTGTGATGCGAACGAAAGTTGGTTGGCAGATTTATCATGCGTTGAAATTGAAAAGGTTGATGAAAAACATTACTGTTTGAATTTTAAACTCACTTTACTTTTTTTTTCAGTATATGTTGTTTTTTTTCAGTATATGTTGTTTTGAAACAACTGCAGCAGTAAAAACCATTTTGCTTTTCAAGCAAATTTACAATTGCTGTGCATTAAATTCTTTATTTAAAGGAGCTTAATTATATGACTTATATGCCGTTGCGTGTGTTAACGTTGGAACTAAAACATCGTGATTCACCAAAATTAGCGGAAATATTAACAAAGTGGATGTGGACGCGGAATATGACTTACAGGTCTTCATTATTGTTTAAATTCATATATTTTTGATTCCAAATTGTCCACCCTTATAAGCTGAAGTATCTTTAACTGCTCAAAAGTCACACCTTTTGTTATGTTTCATTTGCTAGCTTTCCATAAATAGACTTTGTTCTCTAATAGTCAAATATAGGTGTTATAGATGTAACAAATATTTGTTATCGTGTTGGGATATCACCAACTCACTTTTGCAGAGAAAGCAAGGAAAATATATTCTGTAGAATGGGATAGTCACTTTTAATTAAGAAAAAATGAAATTATCACAAACTGATTTGAACACAATGATCAATATTGTAGTGTTTGGGTATTTTTGCCAACTGATGAAAGTCTTCTTCCTGTCGCGGATTGTGGACTAGATGGTCGGGATATTTGGAGAATATGGGCTGATTTCCGAAATCTCTGCACCAATTATCCGATGCAGAAATTAGCTGTTGGATTGAGACTATGTCCTAATCTTGCCGATGAATTCCTGGAACCAAGACTATATAAGCGCTGGCATGCTGAGCCGCTATGTTCATTTTGTATTGAAACATCCATTTTCACATCTAGTGGGCAGTATGGCAAATGTACGCTGCCACCGTATGCTTTGCTTTATTCTGTTTCAATTTTCATTTTTCTTTTCCTATGGAGTCTTTCTTTGAATGATTTGAGTATACCTATAAACATACGAAGAGTACCTTTTATTATGAGGATGTAATGCTTCCTAAACGTACTTTCTGCTGTTACTTTCAGAACATAACTAGAAACTTTAGTATTTCTTTAATGCCGAGCACTATTGGCAGAAGAGAGTACTTCATTTCCTTAGACTGAATAAAAATTTTGAAAAAAGTAATTTCGATATTTACAGAGCGCATTGTCGTTTGTTAATGGATTTATTCGTATCGGTCATACAACGACCGTTGATACACAGCAGTAGCTCTGAACAGGTTGATGAGCATCTTCGATTGCAATACGTAAATATGATCAAACAACTGATACAGGAAAAAGCAATTCAGTCAAAAGAGGCTGCACTTGCTGGTAGGGATGACGATATTTTGTTCGAGTATCTTGGACATCGGGAGTATATTGATACTTTACAGGTACATATTATGGTATTTCCTTTCATTGTAATTTCCATCATTTGAAATATGTTTAAGATTTACATGAAAAAATTGATAGACCTGTAGAAGGTGGGTTTATTCCAACCTGGAGCACATTTATTCATGATATCTTTTACAGTGTTTTGAGGAAGCCTATTGGATTGATGGAAACTGGATTTTCTCTCATTTCAGATGCCTCTGCAACCCTTAGCGGATAATCTTGATTCGGGTACTTATGCTATTTTTGAAGAGGATTCTGTGAAATATGATTTATATCGTGAAGCGATATGTCACGCTATCGAGGATCTTGTTAAAATAATTGGCGAGGAGCGAAACATCGTTGTATATCTTTTAGGAGCAGGGAGAGGGCCCCTGGTAAGCTTTGCATTCATTTGTTCTTAAGAACATTAGAGAATAACTATCATCAAATGATTGGTTTCATTGTGAGCTGATTTTCTTATTGAATCGCGTTAGCACATGAGATATTTTACGTTGAATAACATACATACTTTAAATTAAGATTTATGCTCTTTGAGTAAGTTGGTTATTTATAGATGCAAATGATAATTGAAGCTGAAGAATTATTCAATGCAAAAAGTTGTAATCGCCGCGACTTGCTGAAGCTTGAACTTTACTCAATAGAAAAAAATGCACATGCCGTTGTTACTTTACAATTTAGGAACAAACATCAGTTGGTTCTTGTTTTACAAAAATTAAAATGCGATTATTTTGCTTGGTGCGTATAGAATCGCTAATAATTTAGATCTTCCTCGCTTCTTTTTGAATCTTTTGTATTTCGTTTGTGTTTCTTCTGAAATTTTTTTCTTATGAATTTCGTTCTACTGCTCATGCTCACCACGCAATCTCTTAAATAATCATTTGCAATCTCTTAAATCTCTTAAAATCTCTTAAAAATCTCTTAAATCATTACTCAATTGAATCTTTTGGTTTTTTCAAGAAAGCATGACAAACTTGAAACTTTTTAGTTAGATTAGCTTATTTTGTGGTCATTCATAGTTCTAAAAATGATCGTTTCCTTCAGTCATGATTGATGTTTTTTAGTTCTGTGCAATATTATATTTTTAGCTGGAAGGATCGAGTGCAAATTATAGAAGGCGATATGCGAAGGTTGGGTGAAAAGGTCAGAGCTGGTCAGCTGCCATTCCCAGATTTAGTTGTTTCGGAATTATTGGGATCTTTCGGTGATAATGAGCTATCTCCTGAATGCCTCGATAGTATCACGGATATTTTGCGCCCAACCACGATTAACATTCCTCAGCAGTATACCAGTTACATCGGTAAATCTCAATAACTGGTTTTATTAAAATATCTCAGGCAATGCCAGTACTGTTTTCAATCTTATTTTTTTCAATGGTCCTATCTTTTTTCTTCTGGAGTTATTGATACTTATAATTAAATAAAACTGCTTTTGAAGAAGGTCTTCTAACGAATATAATGCGCAGGGATTGATGTAAATTGCATTCGGTTGCTATAATATCACAGTCAAGATAATCGTTCACTAAATCACTGGACATTTGTAATCAATTTTTATAACTTGATAGCATCAATTAATTACTTAGGTCTTAGTGACCAGAATTATGAAATTCTGCATACATTAGCTAAACAAAATTGATATCTTTTGATATTTATGCACAATTAGAATGCTTTGAATTTTCCTTCTTTGGATTTTATCTTTTTTTGAATGGTTTTTCAGCTCCCATTCAGTCAGTTCGTTTACACCAAAAAGTACTGTGCTCTTCCGGTGGTACAAAATATTTTGAGCGAGGTTTTCCTGGCCGTGGACGATTGGAACCCGTTAAATTACAGGATGGCACTTATGCATTACCGTACGCCCACACATGATTGATTAGTTTTAGTGAATGATTGTTTGGTTAAAGTGGAGTGCAGAACTAAGAGATGTTCAAGTAGAAAGAGCAAATGAACTTTCCATAGCTTTAGTAAGCTTTAATTGATTAGAATGTTATTTCGCAGTCTCAAAAATGATTTTTTTTCTTCATATTTGATCAGCAGAATAACAGTATTCTCTCGTAGTTCGTCATTGCTTAATTTCCATTTTTTCTATCAGTAATGTAGTGCAGAATTATAGTATAATTTAGAATAATAGCTGACAAAAATTCGTTTAATTACTGATCTTGCATATTTCTTGGTGAAGAATTGGAACTAAATTCGTAAATAGAGCAAAAAGTTAGGGCGATGACAGCATACAAAGATTAGGAATTAAGAAGAAATTAAACAAGGATATATCTAGTTGAAATAATGTTTCATCTCGTGTTTATCATTGTGTTGGATAAAATAGGCCATGATTCTTATCTTGATTAGACAATTGACATTTACCTTGCAACATTTTTAGTGAATGCCCAGAAGCTTCACAGTTCGACGAAATATATATAGTTTGTATGCGTTCCGTTTATGAGCTTGCAAAACCCAAAGCTGTTTTCAACTTCGAGCATCCAAACTTCGAACGAAAATCAAATGCTCGAAGTGCTTGTATTCAGTTCACAATCGACATGCAATCGGAAGTATATCTTTAGCATTATTAATTGAGAAATTGCTTTCTAAAAAGCCAATAATTTTAAACATGCTTGTGTTCCTGATATATTTATTTCTTATGTTTTTGTCACTAATATATACTAGTTATATTTCAGTCTTAACTATTTGTCCTTATAGCCATAAACGTGAATTGATATTTACCATCCGTTAGTGCGAATTATGGAATGAGAATCTGAGGAAATATAATCATTATATAATCTCTGCCAATTAATTTGCAAAGCGGGATTATTGATATCTCGTGCTTTGCATAGCATTGCTAGATAATTATATTCTGTATTCTAGATGCTCTTACGATCGTATGATAGTGTTGTGGTGTTGGAAGCATACTGTATAAGAGTGCAAATAGTTTTAGCGATTTTGTGATTGAAGATGTTACTTAAAATGGCAAAATTTCATCGTGATAATCTTTCAGTTAATGGGATTCGCAGGCTATTTTACTGCACGACTTTACAGGAATTGCCAATTGAGCATTGTTCCACAGACACACACAAAAGGCTTAGTTAGTTGGTTTCCAGCGCTTATACCACTTCGACAGCTTTATTGTTTACAGAAGGGTGCTGAAGTAAGTTTCTATTTGATTTTCAACATATTGTAATTTAAGAAAGTTAGAAATAGGCTTATCGATTGAATGGTTTTATCACTTCCTAGAAAAAATAGAAGAAAACAGTTTTTTTTACTCATCACACAAACATATACAATCACATGTTCCATGGGTCAAATTCGTAACGAAAAGGCTTCAGCACTAGGTTTATATTTAAACACTTTGATTAGTTTTTGTGGTATAGCAGATTTAAAGTTTTTGTGGTGCATTGAAGAGATTTATTATGTGTAATGGTTGAATTATTTAAGGTCATCTTTCATGTTGAACGGAAAATTGATGCGCGAGGTGTTTGGTATGAATGGTTTTGCGAATTCCAGGTATTTACTTTTCTGATTATGGTTTTTAAATTTCTGAATTAGAAGTTTATTAGGTTATAATATTGTCTTTTGCAATATGTTCTTCCATCTATCAGTCAGTTTCCTGCGCATGTCGTTTGAAAGAATTGGGAAATCAACAAGAAGAAGCAAAGCATAATCGATAATTTAGCTTACCCCTGATGATTCTATTTTCCAAATATGCGTTGTATATTTTGCATATTATGTAGGAAGAAATTCTATAATTTTTTGGAATGTAAGCGAGTGTTGCAATTATGGAATGAAATTTAATTTCCTATAAGAAATTCGGTTTTGTAATCTGCTGTTTAAAGGATATCGATGGAAAAGTCAGAACAACGCCATTACAAAATAAGGATGGAATGAGTTATTTCATGCGTTTATAAGTTTGATTTATCAACTACTAAATGTGTGGATATTGGATGATGTCTCCGCCGTTTTGCACGAAATATCTTTGTTAAATTCTTGTAACATCATATTTCTATACAAGCGTTTGAAAATTGTGATTCCATATTGATGGTTTTTGAAATGATAAATCATAATTCGACTTGTTGTTGTTGGTTTCATATTTCATGTGCTGTTTTAAAAAATGAGTATTACTACGGACGAATTATAGAGATTTATGAAGGGAATTACCTGCTATAACAGATTCTTTTTGATTCTTTTTTTTTTTGAAAAATTGTTTCTCATAGAGATTTTTTATCTTTTTCATTGCTAGAAAACAACAATTCTTCATAAAAATTTATTATTGACTTTGATTATAGCACTGTACACAGTGTTGAGATGGCTTTGAATTAAATTTTTGTGCTAAAACTAATTGTTGATTGTCAACAACATACTGGTTGTCCAAATTATATTCTCTTTATTCATGTTGTATTTGTTGCCTTTCAGCAGATAAGTTTTAATACGGTTTTCTGCCTTTTCATAAAAGTAACACATGAGCTATCCATACTATATATTCTTATGTTTTATAGTCCTACTGTAGCGCTTTACTTGAATTGTTAAGTTGATGCAAAGTTCGAGCTATTTTTTTTAATCAGCAGAATGAATATTCTGTTTTCTATCTGGTTGGAGAACACAACGAACGGAAAGTTTTTGAGAGTTTTCTCGGTACTTATTTAATTACATATTTTTGACACAAATTTAATTATGTGAAGCTCGCTTATATGTAATTTTTTTTGTCCTGGAGTTATGTTGAGTTCTAATAATTTTCAGATGCTAAAGTTTCAAGAGTCTGACGAGAGTTTTAATAATTTCGAATGTTGAATGAAGGTTTTCACGGCTGATTTAAGTGAAATATTACTCGCTGAACGTCGTGACGAAGAAGAAATTGATTATTTAGCAAGGGAGCTATCGCACATTGTCAAAGTATCATTCCGATTGCTTAAGCTTGTGAATAAAAGATTTGGTTAGGGGAGGTTCATATTAAAATTTTAGAAATTCACCGCTGCGCTTTTTTACTTTCGAATAAGGAAGACTTTTTGGCAATGGATATACTGATTCTTTTGTGCTTCTTTAATCAGTCAATTTTTTTAAACTTTTTAATTGAAGGGATCATTCACTATTAGCTGGACCGTACAGTTTTTTTTTTTACTTCAGTGCAAGTTGCCAGTTCGCAGAGTTGTTTTCTCAGAAAAATATTCTACTTTTCTCTAATGAATTGGATATTTTTTAGGATTTATTAGGTCCTCGGTTCTGGATTTCGTATTGGAATTATTATCCGATCCTAGCAAGTACTTTATATTACGCTGTCACATTCTTATCAGGTGAAGGTTCTTAATGTCTTTTTTATTATCCGATGCAGCTTTGTTACTTCGTTTCTTCCCTTAGTAGTACCGAAAAATGTTAATCTTTTTTCAAAGTTATTTTAAATAAGCTGCGTGCTAATTTTCAAAAACTATCCCAGGAAACATTATCGCATTGAGCATTTTCTAATTTTTTCTTGACTTCAGTGTTATTTACATCTAATCACACTGATATTATAGGGTAGGATATATTTTTATATTAACTGCTACATTTTAGAAAATTTATTAGATCACTTGTTGAACATATTTCTTTTGCTGCAGTAGTTTTTGGAAAAATCTTAATGCTGTTCTACTTAAATCTAGTTGAGCTTTTATGGACAAGACTTTAAAATGAATTTGGTACAGTTCGAGTTAATCAACTTTAACGAAAAATTAGTCTTTAATTTGAACATCTTAAACTTTATAGCAGTGCAGACAGTTGGGGAAGAGTACATCGCGATCTTGCCTTTGCTATCAGCTCGACAGCGCAAAGTACCCCGCTTCACACGCCGTTTAATTTTTATCCTCTTGTTTACTGTAGCACCATTCTTGATTGAAAAAGTTCTCGAAATAATTCAGAAGAAATTGGAAAATTCACTGAGCGCTAACGAAACAATTTTCTTTGATAAGAAACAAAGAAATCTTCATGAAACTCTGCTCAGTCTTGTTGTCTCAGTTAGGTCGGTCACCTATTCAAGATCAGTCGTTTGTAATTCGTTTATATAAATTAAGCAAAATTTCATACATATAATGAATTGTCTCGTGCTTTTAGCTTCAAGATAATTAAAGGAAACAGGACTAGACAATAAGTAGTATCGTTTCTAGAAATAGTGGTATTCCAGTGCTGTATCGTTTGAATTCAGCATTATTTTACTTGTTTGGAACTTATTATTATATTTCAAAGCGTCTAGTCGGTTTGAAATACGTTTCATTTCGGGCACAGTCCAATTATCAGGTGAATTTCATAGACATTCATCGTTTCATTCATCCAAGTTCATTAATACTGAAGAACTGATTTGTACAATAAAATTTTGGAACTTATTGAGATTATGAACTTGAGAAAAGTCAATCGATGCAGTTTTATCCTCATCTTTTAAAAATTGTCATTTTTAGAAATGTAGAGCTTAAGGAGAAATCCGAATTCCTAGTGCTGAAATAGTTGGACTAGAAGGCCAAATGAGTAATGCAAAAATTTTGAGGAACGTTTTGCAGGCTTTGTCTTACTTCCGTTTCTTTGGAGTAGTAAACATTGCACAAATAATTTCAAGTGCAGCAATTTGGATTAGAGATGAACTGAGAAGACAGCGTAGTGAAGAAAAAACTGAATTCAGTCAATTATCTGAATCCGAAATATCGGAAGAAGAGGACGATCTGGTAAATTATTGTATATGTATAGTGATGTTTTTTATGAAGCTCAAGGGAAAAATGCTATTAAATTTGTGATTTTTTAGATATTAATTATTCGAGTATATTAAACTTCTTTGAGAAATAAACCAGTACTTTAATTCGATAATCATCTTAACAGCAGTCATCAAATATTATTGATTTCCAAAGGACTACGTTTGGCATGAAATTATGTTTATTTTGATTTCATTTATTGTGATAGGTTTGCTACTAATAACATGAATTTAACAATTTTTTTTAGCTTCCATATAATTCATTTCGGTGTTCACTTTGTTGGCAGTACAATAGGCCACCAATTTGTATTCCCTGTGGACATCTATTTTGCTGGAGTTGCATTTCAAAGCACATAAAGTTTACTGCCACTAGCAATGCGTTAGCATTTTGTCCACAGTGTCGAGAAGAATTCCACCAAAGTCGAGTGGTACCACTATTGAATTTATAATTGGTGTGACATTTTTTTAATTTTCAAATTTCTATTTATTGGAGAAAAAACTACTTGTTCTCAACACTTTCATAAGACTCTCAATAACAGATTTTCTTTCAAAAGAAATGAAAAACTGGTTTTTATTAGTATTGTCCTACGCATTTTGTTTTTTTTTTTCTCTTTGTTAGTTTTTTAGTCTGCTAGTCTTTAAATCTTTTTAAGGTAATGATTATGAATGTTTCTGCTATAATTTGGAAAAAATTACCGTGCGAAAATGTAAAATGGGTGTTTGAAAAAGGAATTTTTCGATTTGCATCATCAATTACAGCAAAGTCGGAAAATAAACACTTTCCAGTAATTTACGTCTCCGGTATCCAACCAACTGGAGTTCCACATTTGGGTAATTATTTTGGCTTCGTCCAGCAGTGGATCAATATACAAAATGTTTGTTTCTTTATTTCTTTTGAAGTTTTTTTTCGCACATATTCAGCTAGTTCATTTATGATTGGAACTTTTTATATAAAGTACGAGCAAGTGATCCGCTTTTTCAGGATGGCCGCTCAAAACAAATGTATCTTTCTATTGCTGATTACCATTCGATTTCAATGGGTTTCATGGATCCTCTGAAAGTGAGTCAGCACTTTCCCTGAGAGAATTACATAAAAATTGATTTTACTATGTTTTTAGATTTTTAGATAACTAAAATGTACCGTTTTCATGAGATCGTAGTGAATCACAGCGATTTTTCAATACAATTTTTTTTGATTATATCAAAAAAATTAAGGCAAAAGTTTCTTATCTCGATTTTAGCAAAAGGTGACATGTAGCTCACTTTATTTATAAAGAAAGAAGTTTAGATGCATAAATCTTTTGTTTTACCCTCAATTCTTCTTGAACCGAAAGTGACTGTAACAGTAATCGCTAATCAAAACCATCACCATTTCTGTTATCCTGCTATTTGCTCGAATTTCTAGAGGCATGTATCATCGCTAGTACATGTTCATGGTAAGCACAGGTTAGCATCAGTTTCCCAGAGACGGCTTACCATATAAACTTCAAACTACTAAAATTTGATTTTATTTATAGATGAGAAATAACATTTTAAAAATGGCTGCGAGTCTGCTGGCTTGTGGATTGGATCCGAAAAAGACGATTTTGTTCCAGCAGAGCAGAGTGGCTGATCATGCTAACTTGATGTATATACTGGGAAGTTTACAGACTGTTGCCAGACTTACTCGAATGCCACAATACAGAGATAAAGCTGCTGCGTTCGTTTTCGTCTTTTTAAAAGCAATTTCAAGTTTAACTTTCACCTTTATAGATTACGTTCTGTTTAACTTGTACTTGTCCAAATGGGAATTTTTTGGGAAAAGATGGGAATTTTTTTACTTTATTTTCCACTGCAGGTATCAAAAATTAACACTGTAATGTGCACCTAAAGAAAATCTTGGTGTCATAAGTCTACACTGTTTTCTGTCAAATCTGTAGTGTGCAGTTGTGGACATATTTTTTTGAAAGATTGCTTGTTTATCCAACAAACTAACAGTAAATATAGATTTTCTTAAAGTAACTATAGCCTTTTTAACAGTATTTAAAGTTTATCTAGATTTGACCAATTGTTAATCGGATTTAATTTTTCACTATTTTTCACTATTAAGAAAACCATTCCAATCCGTTTGTTTGCTTAAATTTTTTTTGATTGCAGATTCAAGAAGGGTGACATTCCTATGAATCTTCAATTATATCCTATTTTGCAAGCAGCGGATGTATTACTATATAAAGGAACTCATGTACCGGTTGGCGACGACCAGACTCAGCATCTTCTTTTAATGAGAGATTTGGCTGTCAAATGCAATGCTGTTCTTCGTTGTGATTTCTTTCCTGTTCCAGTTCAGGTTAAATTTAATCCTTTTATTTTCAGACAAAATGATTTAGGTTCGTAACTGAAGTTTCGGTGCCTCAGTAAAGGTTGTTAATCAGGAAGACATTCTTCACATCATGTAATTTATAAAATAATCCAGTGTAGTTTTTCTCGAATATTGTGGTAGTTCTCAGATCGAAGTTTTAAAAGTTGAATTGGATGACAGGGTGGCTATAATTGAATAACGGAAGAAAGAAAATATTTCACCAGTAAATTCATGATAGGACTTTACAAAGCCTTTTTAAATTTTCTGCAATAGTTTAGATTTCAGATAAGTGCTAAATGTGCACGCTTAAAAAGCTTGCAAAATTCGACTAAAAAAATGAGTAAATCAACTGGTAACGATCGATCGCGCATTCTACTCAGTGACACAAAACAAATAATTGCCGAGAAATGTGCAAAAGCCTTGAGTGATTTTCAATCCAACATTACTTATGAACCGGAAAAGCGCCCTGCAATCAGTAACCTGGTAAATTTTGCTTCTATTTTTAAAAATATATTACAAATAAGAATTGTTCTGTAGCCTTGTTACGTGAAGAGGAAAAAAGCTTTAACAGAGATTCTGTTCTCAGAAAATAATATTTTAACAGATCTCTGATTGTAAATCTCTTCTGCATCACTTGTTACACTGCATCGTAGACTTGTTAATGCTACTTCTTTATGGATGCAAGAAATTTTTCCAGGTTAGTCATTTTTTCAAATTTATGTATTGCAGGTAACTCTTTATTCCTTAACGACTGGTTTGAGTATTGAAAATGTGATCGATGAATGCGCCAGTTTGGATACGAAAGAATTCAAATCGTGTTTAGCGGAAAAAATTGATGCCCACATTGCGCCGTTTCGGGAGAAATATGAAAGTCTACTGCAAGAGCCGCAGCTAATTCAGGATATTCTGATGTTTGGTACTCAGAGAGCTGAAGAAAAGGCGCAGGAAACAATGGCAGAATTGAGGGAATTGCTAGGTTTTAACTTGTCCCACCAAATAAATAGCTATCATTATTATAATAAAAGTTCGAATGTATGAAGTTGGGCATGACTATTATAATATATCGTCGAGTATTGTATAACTTGTTGATTATGAAAAAAGTGCTAGGACAACTGGAAATATTTAATCTTTCATTGAAGTTTCTTAAATTGTCATTTGCTTTGGTTTGCATGTTTTATATTGTTTTCTTATATTTATTGATGATATATTTATTCAGTTAAAACCATAAATTTACTTGTAGCTTAAAACCATAACTGTTTATAAAAGACTTTTCGATGAAATATTCTCTCATCTTATCTATCTGACAATTAGATAGTGAACACTGCAACGATTAGGATAATTAAAAATGGGAAGTTTCATAACATGGTCACTAAATGATTGCTCTATAGATAGCACAGTTACTGAACGAATATCTCGCAGTTGCTTAATAAATTTCATAGATTGAATTGTGTGTACCATACGCGGATAGGCATGGAATTCGAAACAAAGAAGTTCGGCCTTTAAGCATGCAGCAGGAAATTATGTTATTCTTAGTTCCTTCCATAAAGAACCCCTAACAAATCTGCAGTCTAAGAGGAGGGACTGATATTCAAAATGAAGTCAAGTTTCAGACAGGTTCCTGAACTTCTTGAAACTTGAGTTGAAGAAGGTTACTTGTTATCAAATTCATTCCTATCTCCGTATCGTCTCTGGAGGTACTGGATACAGAGAATATTTTAATCCAACGTTTGATGGTAAAATAGACAACTGAACTAATTTGATAAAATTCTGATGTAATTAATTCAAGAACGGCTTGGTGAAGGTTATCTGAAAGTGGAATTCAATTTTGAAAGATTACAATAGGCAGGGAGAACTCTATCTAAACGAATTTGTTAAGATTATTTTGATGTGTCATCAATATTATTCGGATGATATAAATGATGCGAAAGGAACTGGAATAAAATTAGGGAGCGAAGAGCAAACTGATTGGTCATCAAATATTTTTAAACTCTTTTATTACAGGAATGTTCTGTTTCAGTGCAGTGGAAGAGATAAATATTATCTTAGTAATAGTAATAGCAGTAATAACACTACTCATATGGATAAAGTAAGAAACTTTCAACACCTTAAAGCATACCTTTTATTATGGCTATTAGATTTGGAATTGTTATATTTTTCGTCAAATTTTTAGTGGGGTGAGTGGGAGCAAGTGAATCAACCATAGAAAAGAACCTAAAATTTTCATTAACAAACATCAATCATAATTAAAATGAGCTGAATCTAAAACTTCATCAATCTTTCAAGATAAATTAAATGTCAATAATAATATCATTAGACAGCATTTCATGCACTCACAGATTTAATTAAATTAAAATCCTCTTAGTTATCATGTCCAGTTTTATCATCATATGGATTACAAGTTTAATTCGTATTGCAAACAATGGTATTCTTTTCTAACTATTTAATCCTACAAATTATTTAATCGGTTTTTTTAGTGCAATAAATAAATAATGATCGCAATTATTTGAAAGCGATAGTGTTTATTGTTGGTTGGTCGATAGATGGCGGAGTCTCTGATTCATTTCAGTTTAAAATGTATCATCTATGTAATAACAATTGCTATGTTCGGTATCACAACAGTTACTATCAATCAGAGTATTTTTGCACTCATTTATTTCATCCTTTTCACCACGTATTGCATCATATTTCAAGTAATTTTTTTAACAATTTCAAATCATTTCTTACAGTTTACTTTCTCTGTTTCTTTATTAATTGTAATTATCATCTAAAATTTCTATCTTGAAATTGTTGCAAATAAGTGAAATATCGCATATAATTCTACTTTAATTAAATTTATTGTCGATCACGTTTAGCATGTGTTTAATGTGCTAATTACTACTCGATGTTGTTTCCATTTAATGACAAATGATTACAAAAGTTATTCAAACGGAATGTCTAAATTTTCACAATGTACAAAAGCCAGAAGGTAATTTCAACTTGCGCCTTCTCGTGAACTAGAAGCGCATTTCGAAGATCCGAAAAGATAGAAAGAAATTTATTTATCGCTATTCTTTGATTAGCCATCTAACATTAATGTTATATAAAATTTTCAGACATCGATGACTTTTTTCTTGCATCGTAGCACCTTTTTCTGGTATATATTGATCATATTAACATTAACTCATCTGATTCTGTTAATCGATCGATATATTGCAAAATATGAAATTAATTGTAGCGATATCCTACTTACTCCATTAGCTGCAGAATACCGAGGTAATGTTTTTTTTTAATCATTATAAATCAATAGTTGTATATAAGCAAACTGTTATAAGTAAAATTTGTATTAATATAGTATTAATATATGATTAAATAATACAAACTTTACTTATAAAAGCAACTTATGAGTAAAGTTTGTACTAGTATATGATTATATGATTAATGTATGATTAAATAGAGGAAATTTCCGTTTACTGTTTTCTTTCAACAGGTATAAAATCTTACAACAGCAAAAGTTGAATAATTAGGGTGAATATTTAAAGATTTTGTTACTGTAACACAAGTTTTGATCAGAGATGAAAGCAATTGAAGAATTCATTTTTATTTCTTTTAAATGAACTACTGAATTGTTTTTTGTGGAATGATTCTTAACTTTTTTATTCGGAGTAAACGTGAAGCTTTTCCTTTTAGAATCAAAATTTTGTAGCCATGTTTAGTTATCATTGAAGTTATTATTTCGAAAGTACTGTTGTATTATTTTTTCTTTTCTCTTTAGTGCTACCAAATATTGTATGGCATTATATGACTGCATTCATGTCATTTTTGTTAACCACTCTGTGCGCTGTCATAGATCTCACTTCTTTCAATTACAAAGGTATTTTTCCTATTAGAACTTGTCTTAACTTTTTATCATTATATACTAATGATTTTGAATTATTTGCTCAATTGTGCAAAATTTAAATCGTAATGTTCGCATCTTCTTTTGTAGTAAATCTGACACCATTTTGTTCTACAATGATGCGACATTTTGGACGAATATTACTAATTACGTGTATAAGATTGAGTAATATTTCATGTGCACTTTCGCTTGCATTTTGCGCCATTCACAGAGTACGTTTGCTAACGATGTTAGCAATATGAAGTATTTACGCTATACAACAGTCCCGTATCAAACCCTTCTATTTTTTTCTTCCTTTTTGGATTAAATTTAGTTTCAACTTGAAATAACACATTTATTGTTTCATTTATATCTTTCCTTTCCTAAATTGATTTATAAAATAATTTTTTTTTCAAATAATAACTAATTCAAAATTAATTTTTGTTGAAAATCAGAGGAAATTTGATTACAGGTCTCACTCATTGCTTTACCTATGCTCCTCGTTGCAGTACTATTATCCATTCCGGTGCTAACAACAATCAAAAGAATTGCTTGTGTTCTTATCACTTATTATATATTAGCTGTTACACTCTTTAAGCTAATATTTGATGCATATAAAGGATTCATTGATTATCCGAATTTCTGCGACACTCCTGATTTGATAAAATGGTTGTATTGGGTGGGATTGATTTCAGATGATACCAGACCGGCCTTGGTTTGTTTCTTCAAATATTATTTCAATTTTTGCTCAGTATTCTTTACACAAGCTAACAGTTTTATGCATCATTATTTTACGTTCATCTGAAATTCTCGTTTTGATAATTAATCGTTTTAAATCGTTATTTTTCGTAGTGTTTTCAATAATTGATCCAATAATGTTGTACAAAATTATCGTTTAATTCAGGAATATTATTATTATCTGTGAGGAAGATATTTCTTTTTTTCAGGGACCGATAGTTTGTATATGTGCTCTTTCTGTACGGTCTTCTTTTCAACACATCAAGGAAATGTATGCGATACGCTACAAGCAATCACTGTCAGTTTTACCATTTCCGGACGTAGACTACACTAATGCCGACAGTGGAATTGTTCATTTTGTCAAATTTTATGCAAATTTTATTCTGTATAAATTTGGTTATGAGGTAAATAATATTTAAAAGTAATTTAGAAATAATAACGACTGCTCTTGTTTATCTTCGCTGACCATTATTTCTCTGTGTGATGAGGAATTAGGTAGGAAAAAATTCGGAGAGCCTCTTAACTTTTCTCAACAAAGCAGAATATTTGAATTCCGAAATTATCTTAACTGGGAAATTACTTAATTTACAGATTGTGTTGAGTACCTAAATTGGTTTAAGTACAGTGAAGCTAATTATTGTAATTGACCAATACAGTTCTGCGCAATGAAACTGTGATTGAAAGAATGCTGTGATATAGGGCTAAATGTGATACAGGATAAAAAAAATACACCAATAGTCAAACATCTTTTGACGGATTATAACATAATGCCAATACATTAATAAGACGGAAAATTCATTATAGAATTGATAAAATGATTTTATAAATAAGCTGATTGCTTCATATATCATATGTTATTTCAAATTTCAATTTCAAAACACTTAAACTTCAGCTGTATATGATTCTCGTTCTTCTCTCAGCAGTGGTGGCTGCAAATATCATCTCGTTATCATCAGTAATAGGCTTGGTAATTTGCTTGCTAATAGATCGATGGCGTGTTCGACGTATATTCTTAATTTTTGTCTGTTATCATTTAATTGTCCTTGTCTACTCATTATTTGCATATATCGGTCCTATACCTGGTAAATGTTATTATGGTAAGGATTGACTATGTTATTTTGTAAACTGTCCCAATGAGTTAGATTATGAAATGATGATATAACCAATGAACAATTCACGATCATTTTTCATTGTGGGTTATTTATTTTGCATAAGACATGAGTAATTGATAATAAGTTATTTTTCGTCAAATCACTTTTTCTTATTATATATCAATTCATTCCCTGATAGTGAGAAGTCTAAAAATTTGGCAAAGGAAAAAGTAAACTATCAACTGTTTCATTAGTTTAAGATTCTTAAATAAGAATTGGCTTTAAGTTGTTGAAAAATTGTCAAAGAAGCTTTAAAGCTTATAAGTTCTATTATCTACATTTCTATATAAACATATACTTTCTAGCTAATTTCCAGGAATATCTATATATCCGGATTATGCTCCATATTTTGCTTTCATTAATAATGGACAATATACAGCAAGTTCACAACGAAAATCATCATATGCTGTTTATTATTATTTCCTCAACCTTATTGTCTCCATCATACAGTATTACAATTTTAAAATTGAGGTAAGCTTGTAATATTATCATATGAGTGTAATATCGATCCTAATAAGTCATGCTATTTATTTTCAAATTTTTAATTTTACAACTGAAAAAAGAACTCTTTTTTTTTACTTAATCTGTTTTTCAAAAGAAGAATTGAATTTATACAAAATCTCTAAGTAGAATTTTAATTAATCTCTTTCTTTCTATTTTAAAAATCGTTATTTTTTCTCATAAGATTTGCTGCAATTTTATAATCACAAAGCAACAGATAGTATCAGATATTTTTTATAAAACTTTGTTAGAGTCTGATTTGCGCTATATTTAATATTTCAATTTTGTACTTTTATGTTTGAATTTTTTAAAAAATTATAGAGTCTGGAAGGAGAGAGTGCTGGTGGTGGATCAAATGATGGCATTCTATTAGCACTTCATCGAAATGAATCTCTCGAGTGTAATCCTGCTCCTCATTTTTTCTCTACTCAAGTCAAGTGAGCAATATTACATCATTATATTTGTGATTTTACAGAACTTAAATATTTATTATCTCAGTATAAGCAATTCCAATATATTTTTAGGATATTGGATGAATTGAAGCGATGTATATGTTCCTACTATCATTGGATTGTATTATTGCTTGTGTTATCAGATGGAATACGTCTCTCATCACCAATCTTTTTGTCAGCGGTTCTTATTATCCTTGCATTTCTCAATCTTTGGCGTGGTGCCGATCTTTACCTTTCACATCCAACTGTTTTTATCCGAAAATGGCGTCTAATAACAATTTATCTTCTTTTTGCAATTTTTCTACGTATTGCTGCGCTGGTATGATTGTTTTTTAATTCTGTTAAAATCCAGACTATCATTCTGTAAAAGGATATTTCTCTCCTTAATATTAAAGTTGATAAATTCCATTACCGATACTTTATGTTACTGAATCAATATTAGCTATCACCGACTGATTTATTGTACTTTAACAAAAGTATTTTTGATTATATTGCTTACACATCACTGATCCTATTATCCCTTCCAATGAGTTCTTTTAGTGCCACCAACTCCTTTAGGTTCAGATTAATAAAGTCTATTCTAAATCTGATCCGTCATGATATTGGTGATAACTGATCCGTCAAATATTTTAGTAATGTCTTAATTTTGCGATTTTAATCGGTATAAAGAAGTGACGGTTTTCAGATCGCTGATGGATTAATAGGATATTTTTTAATATATGACAAAACGAAACATTCAATTAGTTTTACGTCGTTTCACGTGATGTTGTCTTATTTTTCAAATTCTTCCGAAGATAACACCAGTATATCTTTTCTTTCTTACATCATCTGAAAGAGCTGGTAAAAACTAGTAGTTTTGAGACAAAAAAAACAGCAAAAATAATTTTATGTGAAAACTTACTAATAAATCAGCTTAAAAGATGTTTTCCGAAATTGTTTCCAGTAAAGATTGATCATCAGCGTGATCAATCTCTGAATTTCTAAGTATGACTTATCATATATTTTATCAAAAAAACTCCTTCACTCTTTTTTATAATAGTTTCATCATAACTTTTTATGTTTAAAATATTTTTATGGAAAATTTATTCGTTTTTAAGCACCCTATGGAGAATTAAGTACAAATAGCTTTCTTTTCGATGTGCTGACCTTCGCAGCTCTTTTGCTTCAACTTCGTCTGATCAGTAGTTGGTATGTAGCAAAGCAATTGATACATCTCTTCCATGAAAAATGACAAATTATTTTGCTAGTTTTTAAATTTGGAATAATTCAATGTCCCGGTTTTATTGCTTGAAATGATTTTAGGCATTTTCAACGCACTGTCATTGATATACGAGCTGATCGAATTGTATGTTATAGGCAAGTTTTTTTTAGAAATTTACATTTCTCGTATTGCATTTTCAATAGTCTTAAATTCTTGATAAAATTTTGTTCATTGAAGTTTTCTTTGATCATTATTCTGAAAGCAGTCATTAGAGAGGAAAATGTTTGAATCGTTTTGTAAAATGAAAAATTTTGAAAGACATTTAAAATTGAATGATGGTAGTGAATTTCAGCTAGTCCTTATAGATCACTCGTGCATTTCAGAGGTGTGGTACTTCAAACTCAGTTAATTTACAAAGCGATGACCTATCATCAACGACAAGATCGTCGTCGCTTGAACAAAATAAAACGTAGTGTGGGAGCAATGGCGAAACTCAATCTACCTTTTGGAGAATGGTTTATTGAATGTTAGTTTTAATCGTAAAAATTACTTATTTGTAATAGTGAATGAGATTTATTGGTCGGCGCAAAGTTAACCGAAAATAATTTCAAATATCCTTATTTTCTCAATCCAAAATAACTTTTAGAAATAATTTCAGATCTTTCAAACCATTATATATATTTGTTCATAATCAACTGTAGAGTACCTAACTACAATATGTAAAATTTTTTCATATTGAGGTGCTTGAAAAACAAATTCAAATAAATACGATGATTTAAAGAAAAAACTCAGACTATTCTTGAATGTTTTAGCAATACGTGGATGGAACGAGAATTTATTGCATACGGTAGATTCGGCAACAGAAAATGTGGAAGAAGCAACGTTTAGCAGTCATTCGTAATGTTTATTCTCCATTCCTCAATTTCATCCATACTGTTTAGAAGCGATTGATGAAATCCTTTTAACATTCATTCATTCATCTGATCAGTTTTTGGTGTAATTAATATTTTCATAGCTACTTTGTTTACGACAGTACTGATATCATTTTAAAAAGTTTTTCTCCCTAAAATTGTATCGGAATTTGCAAATTCTGGCGGCAACTTTGACCTTCGACTAAATCAGCAAGCGATTTAATGGGTCATTAAGTTTATAGAAAATTTCGATTTGCAGAACCTTTTTTTATGATCATTCCCTCCTACCCTTATCATCTAACCATAATGAAAACAGGTGTTTTAATTATAGGTCTACGTCAACTAGCCAAGATGATAGGATGAAAGAGAGTAAGAAAACTCAGGTTAATACTTTTGCCAAAAATTAAAATTTTTCAACTTGAAAAATTTATTGCAGAAATTAAACCAAACTGATGATACTTTCATGGATAGTTTCAACATATTTTAGCTTCTCTATTATTTTTTACTTTTTTAGACTCCATACATTACAATCTCCGCTTTGCTCTCTGTCTGTGCTCTTTGGTTGGCTCGTAAAACACTTAGCTATCGTTACATTCGCTTCGTTATCAATGAAGAAAAGAGGCTGTTGTTAGAGAAACTCCCAAAGGTATCTTTAATTTATAGCATCAGAAGGCATTCGTTCCATTCCATTCCATTCCATTTCATTTCATTCAGATATCATTTATTATTATAAATGGAAAACAAAAATTGGCGGCAAAAGGAATTTCTGAGCAAAAGTTATTTTTTATTTATTTATCACCATGAAAATTTATGCGAGATTTTCATCTTATCACTTCAGGAGTTAAGTTTGGCTTCACAAAATTCCTTAGCTAAGCTTGAAAAATGCAATCTTGGAAATGAGATTTGTTTGGTCACCAATTCCAGAGACATTGTCAGGTAATTTTATTAAGCATTATCATGTTATGTTATGCTATAATTTGCAGCAAATTAACACATAGAATACTCGGGAATAATCGGCAAATACGGAACTATTAATTTTAATTATTTGATATAATAATTGATTTATTGTTTTTCCATTTCAATTTTTAAGCTAGTACTGAATTACTGCTACCGCATATACAGTGTTAATTTGTTTACATTTAAACTTCACTTCATTTTTATGCAAAGTATTTAAATGAACAATAATTTGCTTACAGATACATGAATGAAGTACATCATCGCTGGCTAAAGTTACCATTACTTTGGCGTTTACTGAATGCAGTTGGAACATTTTGCGTTTGTAATACGGCTTTGTTATGCTATTTAGTAATAATTGTTGCACATGGTCAAGCTGCTTGCTTACTTACATTTCCGCTTACAATATTAGTCTTTTTTTGGGGAGCAATCACCGAACAGAGACGTCGTTTACTTTGGACTATTGCTATTTTTTATGTACAGGTGATGATCATTGAATTTCATCAAATTTCTTTAATCAAGCAAGACTAATCCTTGAAAGAGATAAGAATTAGGATTTAATTTTAAATAAAAGATATATGATAATAATTCCAGACAATGATAATAGTATCAGTTTGCTTTAAATATACTTCTTTACCGTGGGTATGCAAAGAATGGATGAAATGTGGCAGATGGAGTATGGCGATGATTGGACAGTTTGTTGGTATCGCTGGTGAACCGATATCAGTTGTCATATTTTGTCTTCTTGTCCTTGCTCTCTTCACCCATCGTCATAATATGAGAGTAAGCTTCAGATAACTCTCCTACTAATGCTTATTTATAGTAAGTATAAACTTTTGTAGTATGAAAAAACAAGAGAATATTTGAGTGTTTTTCTCGGACAATAATAACAATTTCCGCCCATTCATTTAATCGTTCTTTTCCAACAAATTTGGTTTATTGTCTGTGATTTTAGCGAAATGGTTTTTGGTATGTGTCGAGTATGCAATTATTACGGAATGAAGGTTTTGTTTTGTTTTTTTTTCCTAACAGATCGAAAAATGAATAGCTTTATTCAAAGTGCTAAATTATTGTCGTTTTAACTTGCTGCAGTAACTCTTCTCAGTTACTTCAGCTATAAAAACATCGGTGATAAAATTTTTATGGGATGATGCACAGAATACCTAACCTTAGCTTATCTGCTGAAGTAGTAAATGGCTAATATATAGCAGAAATATTTTATTATGCAGAAACTTCCTCTAAATAAATGTTTCAATGTCAATCGGTGAAAAGCAAGCGTTGCAATGCTAATCAGTAAATAAGTCAAATCTTAGGATTAGGAAATTTAGATGTATAATGCAATTTGATATGTTGATAAAAGACATGCGAAATATATTTTCGTCATGCTAAGTGTAAAATTCAGATCACAAGAAATGTTGCTTATGGTCAGTATTATTGGATATCTTAAAATTACGACAACGTTCTCCGTCCAACTATTATCCGTGGATGATTTTGTCTGATTTACTTGCTCTTATTACAATGGTTGTTAATTTTTCCAATTTTGATTTGGCACGACGGGATGCATTCACATTATTGGAGAGTAAAAGTAGCCTGTTGCCAGATGCATTTGTTTACTATTTTATGATAAGTCTTGGCATGGTAAAGCAAATTTTTCTGTCAACAATTTTGATTGTTAGATTTTATATAAAGTGATATGCTAATATCCACGTGTTGTATAGTGATTTATGTGATAGTGATGGCCTTTTTATCTGTTCTATCTTTGAGGTAAATTCGGATTTAAAATATTTTTTTAACGCTCAGGTTTAAACAGTTTGCTGAAAATTTAATAATAACTAATCATATTTTTGAAGAAGTTATGATTAATAAACTCATAGTAATATACAATCTTTCTTCTAATATTAACACTCTTCCCTATCGTAATTCCAGTCTTAACTGTGATCGGCCAAAGGCCATATACTTCTGATTCTACTTTATAACAAAGAAAATCAAAATAAAAAATAGATTAATTATACTTTTATTTTAAATATTCCAATGAAATTCCAGTAGTTATATATAATCTATCTCTCAAAGATTTCTTACTACTTTGTAAAAATAAAAACTTTGTAATATCTAAAATATACATTACGAGTATAAAATTGTAGAATAAAACGTATCACTGATATTATTACTATTTGTTGGAACTGTAATAATCACTCGATTAATGCATTAAATATTAATATTCCGGAATTTTTTTTGATTTTATAGATTATATTGGATCGAATAATTTACCTCAAGCGAGCAATACGAGTGAAATTTGTATATTTGGTGATTGAAGTTGTTGGAATTCATGTTTATATTTTTATAATATTGTTAATTTCGCCAGAAACGTAATTTTTTTCAATTTATTGATGGAGCTATAATTTGCATGGATGATTTCATAAAGTCTTGAAGTTTGATTTTAGGTCTTATCTCTATATTTTTTGCAAAACATTTCAGGTATATCTATTGGTCACTAAATATTATTCATTATTCCCTTATTTTTCATTTATCTTTATCACAGTTTACAATCTTCCTAATCTTAACTAGTTCTACATGTTTCCGTTTCACTACGTTACCCATTCCGTCAATGTAATTACAGCGATGAGAATCATCGGATGACGGTCGGTCTATTTATTTGGTACATAGCTCGTGGTATACACATGCTTTCAAGTGCATTTCAAGTACGAGATGGTTATCCAAAATTCATCGTTGGTGACGTGATGATGAAATCCAATCCATTTAGCTGGGCCTTATATGTCGGGTTTGTTGCATTGATATTTTTCAGACATCGAAATATTTGTCAATGATTAATTAGTGAAATTATTTTGTGTCTCTCTATTTCGTCTTTCCTAGTTATGCTACACAATTAACATAAAGAATCTGTCATCTTGTAAGATATTCTCCCTCCTTTTCGTTATATCCGTTTTTTACAGTTCAGATTATTGATGAAATAATTTTTCCGATCGTTTAATTTTATATGCTAAAACGCTTTTCATATTCCGTCCAGTATACTTAGATTACATTATGGGAGAGGAAAACTTTTAAATGTAGTGAATGATTATTGAAATGAAAAAGATTGTAGGGAAGAATTCCACATTACATTTGTGGATACTGCACCAAATTCATATATTTATCTCAAGTTGTAACATATAGTTCGTATCAGTGAGAAATTTTCCATCACTTCTTTTTCAGATATTTTTACACCGTTCCAGTCTTTGAAATAGCAACAATTCTTGATTGGACATTTACATCAACAACTTTAACTCTATTAGATTTCTATATTCTGAAGACAATTAATTATTATTTATATTTTATCAAAGGCATGCGAAAGCTCGAAGCGGTCTTAATTCATTTTATTTTGCTTCTATATTAATTTATATCGATAATACTTTAATTATATTAAATCGCATACTTGTATAAGTTAACTTACTTGAAATGATTACTTTCCCATACAGTACTATTAAATTCACTGGGAATTCCAGTAATACATTACACTCTTGCTAAAACTGCAATCCAGAAAATGACTTATGGAAAAAGTTCAGCAAATTTTCCAGTGCACTACAGTTTCTTGGTCTAAATTTCCATCTTTTCGCGCGGTGTCCGAATGCAATCATATAGCGTAGTAATTTGAGTATTTTTAAAATATTTCGCTAGAATAACTTTCAGAAAGAGAGAGAAAGAGAATTATTTTTAGTTCTATCCAAGGAAGCGTGCAGAACTGACTTCAGTTCCAGTTAAGATATTTTTGGGTGGAGGAATACTCATTGCAGTATTTGTCATTCTTGTTATGTTAATTCTCTTCATATCTGAAAATGTGAGTGTTTTCTTCATGCGGTGAGAATAACAAATTTACTTATTTGGATTGAAAAAAGCAAATTAAACTGCTGGCGATGAAACGTTTAAATCAGTTAAACGTCTTTATCATTTCGCTAGATGATTTAAGTGACATGATTTATCTGTTTAACAAGTTCAATTTCAAAGCTAGGAATGACATCTCATCAATTCAATTTTGCAATTAAAAATTATATTAACTTTGATTAGATGGATTATTTGCTACTTTCATTACTAATCGCAATTCATTATTTATTATTTATTATAATCCTATTCATAAGAACAAATGAAAGAATTTCATTGAAAAAGAAATTTTATCTGCAAGTTTATTTTTAGATGTTTGTTGGGGTTTTCCTTCCGGTCCAAATGGTATTCACATTAAGGATTGATCAGCAACCGGTTAGATCATAATTTCATTATCAAAAATTTATCATTTCTTAATTTTTATAACATTCTTGTAAAATTTCATAACAGCATCCTATAAATACTTTAATTCTTCATATTCATCAATTTCAATATCATACGCATCTATTGTTTTAAATTTTTTTTGAGAATATTTGTCAATATGTACATGTTTACTGTCCATATATTAAACACGTTACGCTAAGCAACAGGTTAAAAGTCAAATGATGTTTAAGTCAGATAATTTTAATTGATTTAATACTTCACTGCTCACTTTTTGTGTAAATACATAAAAACTTTTCGATATTATGAATATACCACAAGTATAATACATGTAATAATGTTATAATAAAAAAGTAATGAAAAGTGCTATAAGAAATGATTAAGATATTTAATTTAGAACTTTTTAACTGTAATTGTTGCATTTTCATACTTGAAGCTTTTTGTTTTTCCTTTTTAACAACATACTGCAAGTTAGATTTGTGATTAAACAGCGTTTTATTATAGATATTGTACGAGTGTCATTTGGAAGATATACCATTGATCAGTGATAAAGAGTACAATTATTTGATCAAATATTTTGCCTTTGATATATATACACAAAATTTTATAAAGTCACTCGGTGCGGAAACTATTGTGAAGGTGTTTTCTTTGTTCTTCCCTTTGATTTTCATTTTCCTTTATAGTTTTCTCAGAATTTTTTGTAATTTCGTTGGAAAGAAGATGAAATTTCCCAATTTCATTTTTTGCTTTGCTTCAAATTTACAAGACAACAGTTATTTTTTGCTCACAATTATTGTTTGGCAGTAATCGTTTCAAACATGGAAGAGATGGAAAAACTTTTTTAGAAAAAGGAAGAAAGTTCAGAAACCACAAAGAAATAATATTTCTAGGCTACGTTACCCTCTCGAAGTATGATTCATTATATTCATCCAGGATGGGAAGCGCAATTAGTCCAACTGGCAAACAAATCCACCAATGGATTGAAATTGAAATCACGAATTTATCTGCGAAGAATGCGTATCAGAGAACAGACAGGTATTTTCATGAGCTAATAATATCTTCATTTCAATCACTCTGAAATCTATCAGAATGATTGGAATATTACTTTCGGATATTTGAATTCTTAGCTCGTAATGACGTATTGCTTTGAATCTGCTAGAAATAATTGTTGTCATCGCTTCAAAATAGTTAAGATAATGAATTATATCTCTTTCATTGACAATTATCAGTCATTTCTTACCACTCATTCACTTGTAACTTCTCTATACAATAAAGAAGGCATTGTAATATGTATTTTTTTAATTTTAAGATTGATTATATGTTTGTGATTGTTGCAGTCCGTATTTTTCTTAAGTGATCTTAAATATTTTAATTGTTTCAGCAATATACAATTTTTTTCTCCTTTTTTTAATTGTAAATGAATACTAATTCTTTTTCGTAAATTTTAGATAATTTGCTAAAAAAAACGGACACAACACCGTTGGAAACTGCTCGTGAGTGGGAAATGGAAATAGAACGAGAGGAGTTGCAACAATTTCTTGATGTTAGCATCATTTATAATACCATTTTTTTGCTCATTTTTTAACTCCCATTTGTTTCATTTTCAAATTTGGAATTTTTGTTTTCACCAAAGACACAGAAACTTGATAGTTCAGTTCTGATTTTAAAAAAAAAGTTACTATATGTTCTATTAAAATATATAAGATATTCGTTCTTATTTAGGTGCTTAAATCAACAAATTGTTCAAATGTTTTTGAAATAGACATTTCGGAAATAGTTCGTTCGTTGATTACTGTACCTAATGGTGATTTAATGTATGAAAATCCAACCATTGGTGTGGAACAATTTAGCCATCGTTTTGCTTATTTCAATTATTCATTTAAATACATGACGAGGTTAGTGTTTTATTTCTTTACACGATATTATTCCTATTAATAAACGTAGAACGGATATACGTTATCGTTATTTCAGATTGAAGATTTGTTAATTTAACATACATATACTTCACATTATCGGTGATTTATCTTTAGCAAAACAGTGAGGATTTTTTATTTTTGACAATCTCAATATCAAAATAATATCACTCTTCAATA